AAAAGGAAAAAAAAAAAAAAAAAAAAAAAAAAAAAAAAAAGGTGAACCCGGATTCTTTCCCAGATTCTTTCTAATTCCCAGCCGTTCAAGAGAAATCCATCTTCGAGCATTGTCGTTCCGCCAGAGAGAACGAGGCTGAGGAACAAGTGTAAGTGAGCGGCGTTCCCTGTCCCGCTGCTCCTCTCGCATTGTTGCCCGCGGTCCGCTCCCGTGAGAAGGCTGGAAGGACCTGCAGCTCGTCTGACTCCGATTTGCTATGATGCTGGAGCCATCAAAGCTGAGAGTGACTGCCTTTGAGGGAACCTCGGCATGCTCATCCTGCCCTCGTGACGCGAAAGGGAGTCGGGAGAGAAATGGATGAACCTTGTTGGGGGAAGAGTATATATCAAGTCAATGTGGCTTTACTACCAAGTCTCTTTGCTCCAAGGTACCTCGAAACGACCGTTTCTAGACTACTGCAATGACGAAGGACATCGAATGCGCAGCCTCGCAAGGCGGCCTGGTCTGGGAGGACATCAGCGTGTCTCTGCCTGCCAAGCGCCCTCTCAGCTCCTATTTCCGCAACATCCCTCCCTTCGCCGACAAGCAGCTTCTCACCGGCCTCTCGGGTAGCGTTGCTCCCGGCGAGATGCTCGCCATCATGGGCCCGTCCGGCGCGGGCAAGTCTACCTTTCTCGACGTGCTCTCTACCCGTCGCGCCCCCTCTTCGGGCAGCGTCACCGTCTCGATTGCGACCAAGGACGTCAAGAGCGTCTCGTCCTATGTCGAGCAGCACGATTCGCTGCTCGGCGTGCTCACTGTCCGCGAAACCATCTGGTACTCTGCCAAGCTCTCTCTCCCACCCACCACCCCCACTGCCGATATCGACGCGAGAGTGGACGTGATCATCGCCGACCTCGGACTGACGTCTGTGGCATCCCAGCGAATCGGCACACCCATCCAGCGTGGTATCAGTGGCGGTCAAAAGCGACGTGTCAGCATCGGTTGCTCGCTCGTCACCCTCCCCAAGATCCTGTTCCTCGACGAACCCACCAGCGGACTCGACACGTTTACCGCCCACGAAGTCGTCGGTGCCATCGCCAACCTCGCCAAGCGGCACAGCATCGCCGTGCTCGCCACCATCCACAGCCCCAACTGGGAGATTTTCAGCACGTTTGACAACGCGCTGCTGCTGAGCAAGGGAAGGACGGTGTATCAGGGTAGCACAGGTGGGGTGGCGGCTTGGTTTGCTGGGTTGGGCCATCGTTGTCCCGAGTTTACCAATCCGGCGGATTTCATGATTGGGTTGGTCAACGATGATTTTGTCGATTCGAGCCGAAGCAAGGGACGAGAGGGTGTTTCCAACGCAGGCGAGAAGGTCACCAAGGGCGATTCGGGAGCGTTCGCCGATGCCTGGGCTAGCCACGTCTCGACTCGTATCACACCTGGCACGTCCCACCACGCCCTCGTTGGCAGTGGGCACGATCGCTCGTCGCCCAAGTTCACGACTTGCTCGGACGCACCTTCGCCCTCGGCACCCGCATCCAGCAGCTTCGCCATCCACCTCTCGCGCACGCTCACCCTCACACGTCGCAACTTGCTCAACTACTCCCGCAACCTGCTCGCATACGGCATTCGACTCGGCATGTACCTCGGCATGGGTGTTCTGCTTGCCACTGTGTGGGTGCATCTCTCGCTCACCGATACGCGCATCAACGACCGGCTCTCGGTGCACTTCTTCAGCGTCGCCTTCTTGGGCTTTATGGCTGTTGCTGGTATCCCATCTTTCTTGGAAGAGCGGGCGGTGCTGTTGCGTGAATCGCGCAATCGGTTGTACGGTCCACTGGCGTTTACGCTCGCCAACACGATCTCGACCGTACCGTTGATGTTTGTCTGCTCGCTGCTCTTCTCCGTGCTCACCTACTGGAGTATCGGTCTGCGACCGGGCGGGTTTGGCAAGTTTCTGGTCTTTCTCTACCTCGGCGTGCTCACGGCCGAATTTCAGGCTCTGCTCGTCGCAGCGGCGCTACCGATCTTCGTCGCCGCCCTCGCGGTCAGTGCGTTTCTGAATGGCTTCTGGATGTGCGTCCAGGGCTACTTTATTCGGGCTGCCAATCTGCCCAGGTTTTGGTACTACTGGGCCCACTGGATCGACTACGAGACGTACGCGTTTGATCTGCTCGTCCAGAACGATATGCTGGGGACGGTTTTTGCCTGTCAGGGCAGCGTGGTGGGAGGTGATTGCAATTGCGCCTACCCGAGCTCGCTGATCAAGCAAGGGATCTGCGCGGTCAGCGGGGAAGATGTGATGCATGCGATTGGCATACCGACCAACACGATGGGGCTGTATGCGGGGCTGCTGGTCGTCATCATGGTCGTGTACAGGGTCGGGTTTTATGGCGTGTTGAAGTGGCAGCTGCGCTGACGTGCTTGAAGCTGCACGGCCCTGTAGCACAAGCAAGGAACTCTTTCGTCATCACACAATCACACTGCTTATGAAGATGGCAGGCGCTACATCGCGTGGTATCGCTTGTCTTTCTTGCGCGAGTGCTTTAGTCAATGACAACATTGGATCCGACATTGCTCTTGCTCGCCTTCTTCTTCTTGGTCACCTTGACCACTTTTGTCGCACCGTCTTCGTCCTCCGCTCCCTCCTCCGACGGCGCTGTCTTTGTTCTGATGCTTGACGAGGCCTTCTTCTTTGACTTGACCTTAGCGATTTGCTCCGGCATCTCCTCCTGCTCCAGAACTGGCGGTCGCGTCGGCGTTTGCGTGGCCTCCGCTTTGTTTTGGGTCTTGCTGTCTGGAGCGATCAGATTGTCCAGCCGAACAATGGGGATCTGATCCACATCCTCCTCGTCCTGCCCCTCATTTCTCATCGCTGCACTTCGTGAGGCAGCCGGAGAGTCGACAATGTAAAAAGGATCCTCGCGCTGCTTCTGGAGTCTCGCCTCTCTCTGCGCTTTGCTCTCCCTTGCTGACGGCACCGCAGCCTTCTTCGGCTCGATCGGCGCGTGACTGGTGACGAACGGCTCATCATCCGCCTCGAGATGCGAGGACAGATCGATGCTGTCCAGCACGACGAAGCTCTCGGGCGGGACGATCCATGCGTGCAGGTCGAGGTCGAGCGGCTCGGGGACGCGAGACTGTGCGTTGGCGCCGAGGGGGCCAAGGGTGTGGTTGAAGAAGGGTGGGGAGAGGAGGTCGAGGCTGCGCGGAGGTTTGGTTTGCGCGGAAGCCTTCTCGGTGAGCTCGTCGCCCTTCTGCTCGTCTTCCTTTCCGCTGGCAACCTCCCCGTTAGAAGCCGTGCTCGGGTCCGTAACGATGTACGACTCGAGGTCCTTCTCAATGAGTCTGAACAGCTGCCTGTATTCGACCGTCCGCTCCTGCACCTCTGCGTCCGACGACACGCTCTGTATCGCATCCAACCTGACCACCACGTCGCCCGTCACGCGCACCAGCTCATCGAACTCAGCCTGCGGCTTCATCCCCGCCTCGCTCCACCGGGTCGAGAGGGCCGACGCCCAAAACGCATACACCTTCACCGCGCCGTGCACGCACACTGCCGACGTCGACGCATCGCACAACCCCGCATCGAACAGTCCCGGTCGCAGCAAAAGCAGGATCACCTGCTCGGGGTGCTTGAGCTCGTACGCGTACTCGCCGAGGATCCACGCTGCTGCATGGATCACCTTTCGTGCTTCGCGCATGTCGTCCCCCACCGAGGGCTTGTTGAAGCTCAAACCAGATTCTGACAGAACCCAATCGTATGAGGGAGCAAGACGGCCGTCCGAGAGCAAGTGGGTCATGACGCGCGCGGCGTGCGGTCGAATCGCCCGAACGCGCGCCGAAATGTCGATCAGCTGATCCCGAATGCGCGAGCCAACGTGATTGCCATCGGGCAAATTGGACACCAGCGAGAGGTGGAGAAGCGTATCGATGTACCAGGTGAAGTCGTTGACGTTGGCATACGTGTCGTAGCTGCTCAGTGCGAGGATGCGCTCGACGATCTCGAGACGGTACGAAGGAGACAGGGTGGGGTTGCTAGCCGATGTGATGGCGGCGAGGGAGCCAGAGGCTGGGTCGGCGTCGTCGCCGGCGGTGCCGCCGTTGGTGAGGCTCGCTTTGAGTGCGGCTGCTGCTGCGCCTGCGCCGTCCATGGTCGAAGATGTGGTGGATGAGGACGGTGGCTCGAGATGCGAAAGAAGCTGCGAGACGATGCTTTCGAGGTTGCGACTGACAGCCATGCCGGAGACCAGCTCGAGCGCCCGCAGTCGGATCGACAGGTCTGGGTCCTCGATCGACTCAAAGATGACATCCTGGTGCTCGGCGACCAAATGCGAGTGACTCGGCAGGATCTTGACCAGCGCAAGCAGTGCGATGTACTTGAGGTTCTGATCGGTGTCTGTGAGGAAGCTCGCGAGCTTCTCGACGCAGGTGTGGGCGAGATCATCGCCGCCAGGCTGGGTGAGCATGCCGCCGATGATGATGGTGTGGATGCATTCGTAGAGCAGACTCATGGCTGGCGTGGTGGAGATGATGGTGCTTATTGGCGGGACGAGCTTCTTGACAAGACGAGGTTCGAGGGGCGTAAGCGATCCGAAGAGCTTGATGATCTTGATGAGCATCCAGTTGTTGGTCGATGTGGTGAGAAGGCGGAAGAGTTGCGGTGACAGAGGGAGGAAGGGTCTCGGATCGCGCCGTGCTAGCTCGCAGATGATGTTGACGGCTGCTGAGACGACGCCCAGATCTGGATCCTCGAGCTTCTCTCTGAGACGATCCCAGCTGGCCTCGAGAAGGTCGGGACACTTGATGACGAGCGAGTACAGGACGAGGAGGGCCTTCTTGCGGATCATGGGCCTGCTGTGCGTCAGCAGCTTGATCACGTCCGGTCCCAGATGCCTTGCCAGGTCTGGCGTTGCGATGTGGGACAGCCCGTTGAGCGCGATCGCCACGTCGAGGTATTGGCTGGATTGCAAGTCCTTTTTGATCATGTTGGTCGCCAGGATGAGGACCTCGGTGTCGGCGGAGAAGCACTGAGCGGCAGCGAGGTAGCCGACGTGCTTGTGGTGGTATTTAGACGAGGCCATAGTCTCGAGCATGTGGAAATTGGCGCCTGAGAAGGGATAGCCGAGCATCTGAAGGTAGGTGAGCTTGAGTACGGCTTCGGCCTTGACCTCGAGATCGCCCGAGCGCACCTCATGGCGGATCTCGTCCAGGACTTGGGCGACGTATTTAGGCTCATCCTTGCCTCGATGCGATCGAAGACCCTTGATGAGGTCTGAGAGCGAGCGTTCGAACATGGTGCCTGTTGATACGATCTTTCAGCTAGAGGCCAATGTCGTCGAATGTGTGCCCCTTGTAGTCGGGGGTTAGGCGAGGCAGCCGCTGAGGAAGATGAAGCTAGAGAAGAGAGGGTGACGAGTTGCGCATGGTGTCGAGCGCCGCCTGGAACAGAGCGTTGATGCAGATTCGCCGTCGATTCGGAAGATGCTGGCTTGCGTCACTAGAGTCCTTGGAGGTGCTGCGGAAGAACTGCGAGTCGATGAGCGCCCGTTGGCGAAGGAGGGTGTCGGAGGTGAGAAAGTTGGAAGCAAGGACTTGTGCTTGAGTTGCAGAAGGTGTCCTGTGTGTTGGTCTTCGGACAGCCCGAGATCCGCGAATATTTCCAGACCGAGTATGCAGGCCTCATTTTCGACAAAGCTCTTCGAGGGTTAGTCAAGACTCAGAGGTCAACAAATGACCCAAGATCCTTCTCATACAAGCACGAACAGACCACGAAGATCCGACACCGATAAGGAGATGAGAAGAGTAGTGACTTGCAGAAATGATTGCATCGAGCATTGTGTGTGCCGCTCAGAGTCCAACGGGCAACTCCTCCAAGGGCTGCGCTTCGAGCTCCTTTTGACGCTGAGCCTGCTGTTCCTTGCTCATCTTGTCTTCCGCTGCCAGCCTCTGTTCCGTTTCCTTGTTGGCTTCCTTCCTGAGTTGCTGTTGATGGTCAATTTGTTGCCTCACCTCGGTTGGCAGCTCGAATACCCTCAAACTGCCTCGGAACCTCTCGTCCCACTCAACCCCTTTACTCGGCCTGACAATCTCAAAGCCCATCTCGGCGTTCCTCCACTCCTTCTCCTTCTTGAAGCGCTCCTCTCGCAACTCGGATTCGGTCTTGCTGGGGTCGTTCTTCTCGATCTTGCTCTGCTCGCGCAGTCCTCGGGCCAGATCGCGTGCATCTTTGAGATGCTTGGGCAGCGCTTTGTAGTAGCTTTCTCTGGCCTCGGCGAGGTTCTTTTCCGACTTGAGGAAGTAAGGCGGGTAGCGCTCTTCGGTCTCAAGACCCCAGTCAAGGTCGCCGCCCTGAGGAGGCACTTCAGCCACCTGACCCACAAAAGTGCCTTCCCGACCGGCTTGGAACTCGCGCGCAGTCTCCTTAGTACCGTAGACGAGGGTAAGGCCGATCTCGGCACCGTGGCGTACCTTGTCACGTTGTCGGAAGAATTGGTACATGCGAAGCGGGATGTTGCGCCAGCCGACAAGGTTGGAGAAGTCGACAAAGCAGATGGGCGGTTGAGCTGGGATTTGGGCGGGCGGTTCTAGCAGCCTGGGATCCAAACGAGCAGCCGCAGCTTCTGCTTCCGACTTGACGCGCTGCTTCTCGGCTTGAGCGGCGGCGGCAGGGGACGGACCCATCATGCCGTTGAAGGCGTTGGGACCCGAGCCAAGATTGTAGGGAGAAGCGCCAAGTTTGTTGGCACCGGACCCGAAGCGCGATGGCAGTGGAGCACCAGCGCCGTCCTCCTCACCTCCAGACTCTGCAAGTGCAGCCAGAGCCCTGTCCTTCTCGTCCAAGAATTCGCTTGCAGGTGATGCGCTGCTGCTCTCGGCTGTCGAGGAAGAAGAGGGCTCTGCAGGGAGCTCGTCGAAGGCATGATCCTCGGCGAGAACCTGTGCCAGCTCGTCATCACGATCTCGTTTCATCACCTCGAGCGGCGCTGACCAGCCGTTTTTGAGCGCCCATGCCCACTCCTTGTACGCCGGCCTGCCGACGAGCACGAGACCACCGTCGATCTCCCTCTGCAATTCCTGCTGCGGCGTGAGTGAGAAAGGCGTTTGAGAAATGGCCGCCACCTCGTCCAACCAAGGCTCGAGGCCGAGAAGCTTGCGTCTCCTCTCCTGAATCTTGCTCTGCAGCTCTCGAGCCAGACCACCGTGACGAGTGCCGTTGGTGACCTCCCAGTCGATGCCGGCAGCCACCAGCACGGGCTTGACGTACTTCTTGAAGTAACGTAGAGCTTTGTCGTAGTCGTCGTCACCGGGCGAGCGTGTAGCGTAGACAGTGATCTTCCGTGGCCACTCTCCGGGCTTCATAGGAGCGTTGGAGAGATGCTTGACCTTGTCGATGTAGTCTTCGCGAATGAGCCTGCATTGGCGACGATCGTCATAGTAGAGGTAGGAAAGCGTGCCAACGGTGACGAGGAAGATGGACCAGTTGCGCGATGGCAGACGAGGCTTCCAGGCGAGGACTGATTTGGGTATGCCCATGAACTCGAGCGGACGAAGCACCGCTGGGATCTCGCGAGGGGGAAGCTTGGGCGGCTTGGCTGCTGCAGCTGCATTGGTGCTGGCTGTTGAGGTAGAAGGTGTCGATGAGCCTGGAGCGGTTGACGTCGATGCCGTCGCTGGCGGCTGTGAGGGCGGAGTCGAGCTCATCGTGTCGGGTTCAGCTTGCCTCGGTGCTGCTCAGCCTCGACAAGATTGAAGATGATGGTGATGGTGAGGTTGGGCAGCTCGACGAGCGTTCGGAACAAGTCGTGCGGGCAGAAAACCCTTTTTTCCGTCGATTTTCCTTTTTCTTCTCAAAAGTCAATTTCTTCTCGGATTTCGGAATGACTTTTTTGACGTTTCATCAGAAAGCAATGACGAACAACTTCTTCTGGCTCGTCATCATCAACCCCTTCCGAGACCGCTCTTCCAGCAAGTAGATCGTAGAGCAAGCAACATGGCAGCGTCCACCTCAACAGCCAGGCGAACATCCCCTACCGCTCTTCGACCGCTGTCGACGGAGCTCGGCTTGTTGGCACGCTCAGATGCTAGCGCCTCCTTCTCCTTTGGTCCCGTCAGCGTCGTAGCTTCCGTTTCAGGGCCATCAGAAGTGCGCATCCGCGACGAACTCACAGACCGAGCAACACTCGACGTCATCTTTCAACCTCAGCATGGCGTGGCCGGTATCCCTGCTCAGGCAGTATCCGACTCGCTCTTGACCGCTTTCTCCTCCATCCTGCTGCTTCATCACCACCCTCGATCCTTGATACAGGTAGTGCTGCAAACGCTCTCATCCCCTCCACTACCACAATCGTCCGCTCACACAGTCTACACTGACGTAGGATCGAGCCGACGGCATGTGGCAAGGCAACCGCTGCTTCTCGGGCCCGACTCCCCGCCTAGCGTCACAGAGCAAGCCGCACTGATCAACGCTGCATCATTGGCGTTGTTGGACGCGGGCATTCCTGCAAGAGCGAGCGTAGCAGGATGCGCTTGTGCAATCCTGCCAGCGACGCAAGGAATCGTGCTCAGACAGAACAGTCATCTCTCTGAGATCTCGGAGACGCAATTGGCAGGACTGGTGCGCCAGTACCAGCAAGACAATGGCGAGGGCGACGATGCTCACATGGACGAGGACGGCGACGCGAACGGCATCAAGTCGAACAAGAGATACACCGGAGAGACCGTTGTACTGTTGGATCCAACACCCATGGAGCTTGACTATGCGCTCAGCACGCATGTGTTCGCTTTTGCATTCTCGCAAACGCTCGATGCACAAGACAAGGATGCCAGGCCACAAGAGGTCTCGGAGCAGATCTTGGCCGAGTCGCAAGGTGCTGTTGATTTGGAAGATCTCGAGCAGGCCCGCGAGCTGTGCCTACGTGCGTGCTCTGCGGTGGTCGGCTTCATGCGAACAGCATTGCGCAAACGTGTACTTTCACAGGTTGCCGTATGACGGCACACAGCATCTCAAACAGTAATGGCCTTCATCGACACTGCTTTGTGGCCACCCATCCTCGTCTTTGAATGTTCTGCGCTGATGTGATGGTATGACAAAGCAAAGGGAGGTATACAGTGGTGGATGGACATACATCGACATGCGGCTGCAACGTTGGGAGGCCGCACCTCGTGCACTTCGATCAGTCAAATGCATTACAGGTTGTGAGAGCCGTCGGTTTCACGAGACTTTGCGGCAGTCAGACGGTGCTTCTTTATCAGAGCGTGACCGGGTATCTACCAGAGGGTTTCCACGCTTGTACAAGCCGAGCCAGGTCCCTGCGCAGAAGGCTATCGTTCCAAGCCGCCAGGCGCCTCCATAGCCTCGCACGCCGTATCGCACGACGCCTTCGCTGGCAATCATGGCAACAAATGCGCTCATCGCGACGTACATGCCGGTGCCATCGATGTCGGGCAACCCTTTGCGCGCGTCCGAGCCGAGAACGAATGGATATGGTGTTTTAACGGGCACGCTGTGCGCGGCTTTCCACACTTTGGGCAAATTAGATACAGCAGAGGCGGGCGATTTGGGAGGCAGACGCAGTCACCTTGGCTGCACGACTGGCGAGTGACGACCAAGGTGGATTGTGACAGAAGTTCAAGGTGTATACTGTAGGCAATCGCAAAAGACAAAGATCCAGAGTGAGATGTGGTTGGAAGGCTGTATGAGTGATGATCAAAATGACATTTGCGCAGTTGAATCGGCGACCTGGCTTGAGCGCGTTTCACTCGGCTCTCGGCCAAACCCAAAGCTGCGCGAGAACAAAGGGTGCAGCACAGCGCAGTCTGGAGCCCATAATGCTGTGCTTCCAACAACGCTTCGGCCCTTTCTTTCTGCTCACTCTTCCCTTTGATCATCTCGCACATCTTCCAACTCCCATCTCGCATTCGGAATCACCACCACCCATCACAAGACCATTGCCCTTTGTCTGACTCTTTCGATACCCCTTTGTCCTGTCACTGCATCTCGACGTCGCACACTTCATTTCCTTTTCACCTTCTCAGCACAACGCATCAGGCCGCGCCAATCCCAACGATCTCGACCTCTCGGCGCCTATTCAATCGCTTCGACGCACAGCATCTGTCACGAACACTTCTTGCGGTCAAAGGGACTGCCTCGGTGGGGTCCAATCATTGGCTCGGCCGCTCCTGCCCATCTGCGCACAATCTTTGCTCAAGACGTATAAGGAGACTCTACTCCATTCGACCCCGCAGCTCGTCTCGTCACCATGATCTCGGCCTTCTTCATCTTCAACCAAAAGGGTGAGGTGCTCATCTCGCGTCTCTTTCGCAACGACCTTCGACGCAGCATCGCCGACATCTTTCGCATCCAAGTCGTCTCGAATCCCGACGTACGCTCGCCCATCATCACCCTCGGCTCCACCAGCTTCTTCCACGTGCGTCACGAGAACCTCTACATTGTCGCCGTCACCAAGTGCAACGCCAACGCAGCACTCGTGTTCGAGTTCTGCTACCGCGTCATCACCATCGGTCGATCGTACTTTGGCGGCAAATTCGACGAGGAGGCGGTCAAGAACAACTTTGTGCTCATCTACGAGCTCCTAGACGAGGTCTTGGACTTTGGATACCCGCAAAACTCGGAGATCGACACGCTCAAGATGTACATCACCACCGAAGGTGTCAAGTCGGAGCAGGCGGTGAGGGAGGATTCGAGCAAGATCACCATCCAGGCGACGGGCGCGACAAGTTGGAGGAGAGCAGACGTCAAGTATAGGAAGAACGAGGCGTTTGTGGATGTGGTGGAGACGGTCAACCTGCTGATGAGCAACAAGGGGACGATCCTGCGAGCGGATGTGGACGGTGCCATCCTCATGCGTGCCTACCTCACAGGCATGCCAGAATGCCGCTTCGGGCTGAACGACAAGCTGGTGCTGGAGAAGAATGACAAGAACAAGGGCAAGGTGGACGCGGTCGAGCTGGATGACTGCCAGTTCCACCAATGCGTCAAGCTCTCGAAATACGACACGGATCGATCCATCTCGTTCATTCCACCAGACGGAGAGTTCGAGCTGATGCGCTATCGCTCCACCACCAACGTCAACTTGCCCTTCAAAGTACACGCCATCGTCGAGGAGATCTCCAAGTCCAAGGTGGAATACACGCTCAACCTCAAGGCCAACTTTGATTCGAAGCTCAATGCGACCAATGTGGTGTTGCGCATTCCGACGCCGCTCAACGCCTCGACGGTCAAGTGCCAGGTCAGCATGGGCAAAGCCAAGTACGATCCGGCGGAGAACCACATTGTGTGGAAGATCGCACGCATTCAGGGCGGAGGCGAGGCGAGCTTCGGCGCGGACGCAGTGCTCAGCAATACCACGGTGCAGAAGGCGTGGAGTCGACCCCCGATCGAGGTCGATTTTCAAGTGCTGATGTTCACCAGCTCGGGTCTGCTGGTGAGGTATCTCAAGGTGTTTGAGAAGAGCAACTACCAGAGCGTCAAGTGGGTGAGGTATCTCACGAGGAGCAACGGGAGCTACCTCATCCGATTTTGAGGGGAGATCACATGCAATGCAGATATCTCTTCGATACATCCATACAGCGTGTGCAGTGCGTTCTTGGCTGTTTTCGATTGCTTCATGAACGCCTTGCTGGACACATGTCGGTGAGAGAAGTGGTGTCAAGTGTGGATTGCATCGAAGTGTGTCCGTGAGACGGGTTCTACGTGAGCAGGCGCAAAAGCGACAGGAGAACAAAAGCGAGGCGAGGTCAGCAATCCGTCCGTTGCATCGCTACAAGGTTGCACGCCATCAAAAGCAGAGGAAGCGTCCGTAATCTTTCTTTTAAACAAAGTCTCCACAGAATGGTTTCGGAGGATTGACAGATTATAGATGATTTGTTTGAAGTGTCGTCCTTCGCTTGGTGCTCTATCAGCCGGTGATATGAGCTGATGTCGTCGGTGCTGCGGCAGGATACTTACGATGTGTGGGTGATGATGGTGAGAAGAGAAGGAGCGAGAAGAATTGATGTGTTCTTTGGGAGAAGAAAAAAGTGATTTCGGCCGGTTCGGGTTGCGGATTTGCTCTCGCCGCGGCCAACGGAGTCTTCGAGCTTGGGCAGGGTCCACCTTTGAGAAGACCTGCTCGCATGACACTTCGATCCACAGCTCTCATCATCTAGACTCCCGACTGAGCTCCCAGCATCACGCGGAAATCATGACAGTAGAAATCGAGGACCGAGCAGCATTTCATCTGCTCGGGCACCCGCTGCCGGCGCTGATCGACCTCGCCTCGACCTCCGGCACTACGGTCGACCTGTTCACGCTCTCGCTCCGCCAACCCATCATGCTCTTCCTCTACCCGTCCACCGCCTCGCCCCTCCGTCCGACCCCCGCCGCATGGTCCACAATCCCCGGTGCAACTGGTTGCACGCCGCACCTCACCTCCATCCCACCGCATATCCCGCGGCTGCTGGTCAAACAGCCCTCGCTCGCCATCTTCGGCCTCTCCACCCAAGCCCACGTCGAACAGGTCGAGGCGAAACAGCGGCTCAATCTGCCCTTCGGTCTGCTGTCGGATGAGAAGGAGGAGCTCCTCCAGGCGCTGGAGATCCCAAGCTTCGAGTTGGAGGGAAAGAGGTATTTCAGGAGGATGACGCTGTTGCTCCAGGGCGGACAGATTACGCGGTTGGACTACCCGATTCATGTACCACAAGAAGCGGGGAGTAGGGCAGAAGGACTGTTGAGAACCGAGCAGGAGCTCATGGATGAGGTCGAGGCGAGGGATGCTGCGGCTGCAGCGAGTCAGACACAGGCATAGAAGGAATGGTAGACGGTTGTCGAGATGCTAAAAGTACAATTGTGTTGCGGCTTGTGTGTTTGTGTGTGTGTCAAGCGCCACGTTTTAAGTTGATCGTGCGTCGTCCGCTCAGGTCGCGCGAGAAGCTCTGTGATCAACGACCACGACCTCTGCCACCACGCATTCCACCACCCCTCCCTCTCCCTCTGCCCCTATCCATCATCCCTCCTCCTCTCGCACCCCTCGTCGCCGGGTCTTTCCTCTTGCCCTTGGGCTTGGGCGCATCGTCCACCAGCAGCAGATCCAATGGCAACGCGTCGGGCAGGATCCAGTAGCGAATGTTGTTGCCCCGAATCGAAAGCGTATCGAGCGTCACGGCGGGTCGACCGCGAACTGTCATCTTGACCGTCTTGAGATGCGTGTTCATCTGGATGTCGACACCGGTCACGGTGCCGTGGACGACGGTGCCGTTCTTGAGCTCGATCGTCACCGACTCGTTGTTGAGCTTCATCAGGAATCTGTGTGGTCAGCAAGGGATGAGAACGAGTGTCAGTGATACATGCTTTATGGAATGCGATAGATGTGGATGTGGAACGCACCTGACGAGCTTCATCTTGACCGAATGCGCAGTCGGCGTGTAGTGCAGGGAGTAGAGCTGGTGGAGCAACAAAAGGCCTTGACCCTGACAGAGATCACCAGGAGAAGCGCAAGAGGGCTGCGTCTGTGGTGAGTATGCTAGGGATTCCGGCGGATAGCAGAGAGCTCCGTTGCAGAGATCGTGCAGTTGTGTTGTTGCGATCGTTGATGGTGGAGAAGGATGAAATGAGATGAAGGGTCGACGACCAAAGCTCAGAAACTTCTCCAGAGTCTGAAATCGAAGATGAATTTGCCCCCGATCTGACATGGACTGGATCGGGAGTTGCGTCGCGCGAGTCGCGTGTCTGTGTGTCAGTCTCGCTTCTCAAATGTCACAGAAGCAAACGGACGTGTTAATTGGCTTTGTTCGCCAAAATGAATCGAAAAATTTCAAGGCAGCAGAGCGCACAAACGCGTTCGATCCCTCCACAAAGCCTGTTCTGCTGGCCTTGCAAGCCGAACAGTGAATGCTGGCTATCTTTCTCCGCTCCCCTTCGACATCAGCAACCACAAGGTCAACAACAGCAGCATCGACCACAACATGAGATAATCGACTCCGACAGCAGCAACGTTCTCAGCGATACCGCCATCGATTCGCCGTCTCGTCGCCCACCATGGGTATCCAGGGTCTGCTGCCCTTGCTCAAGGACATCCAGAAACCCGTCCACGTCTCGAGCTATGCCGGCAAGACCCTCGGCGTCGACGCTTACGTCTGGCTTCATCGCGGCGCGTACGGCTGTGCGCGCGAGATCGTCCTTGGCGATCCGACCCCTCGATACATCGCTCACGCGCTGAGCCGCATCCGCATGCTCCAGCACTTTGGCGTCAAGCCTTACCTCGTTTTCGATGGTGACAAGCTTCCTGCCAAGAGGGGCACCGAAGACGATCGCGAACAGCGTCGTAGCGACAACCTGCAAAAGGCCAAAGAGCTCGAACAGGAGGGCAAGATGCAGCAGGCCAGAGACGTCTATGGCAAATGCGTCGATATCACCCCCGAGATGGCCTACCAGCTCATCAAGGTGTTGAAGGACGAGAGCGTTCCATATGTCGTCGCGCCGTACGAGGCAGATGCACAGCTGGCCTACTTGGAAGCGGAAGGCATCATCGACGGCGTTGTCACTGAGGACTCGGATCTGCTCGTCTTTGGCTGCAAGACGGTGCTCTTCAAGCTCGACCAGGCAGGTAACGCGGTCGAGATGCTTCAAGAGCGCTTCTGGACCAACAGAGCCATCGCGCTGTCCGGTTGGACGACCGTCGAGTTTCGGCAGATGGCGATCCTGTCCGGTTGTGATTATCTGCCTAGCATCGTCGGCATGGGGCTCAAGAACGCGCACCGGCTGCTTAGGCGGTACAAGACGGTCGACAAGGTCTTGCAGGCTGTACGACTCGAAGGCAAAATGCGAATACCGCCTACCTACTCGCGGGAGTTCCGCAAGGCCGAGTTGACCTTTGTCCATCAGAGGGTGTTTGATCCACGCTCCAAGAAGCTGGTCACCCTCACGCCGTTGCCAGACGGCACCCATGACGATATGCTGCCCTTCATTGGCGCGGCCATGGACGATCACGTCGCGAGGGGCGTGGCCGAAGGAATAGTTGATCCGATCTCGAGGACGCCGATCGTGGATCGTCTGCCCAAGCCTCTCACCACACGCAGCAGCTCGGCAGACAACATCGCCTCGACCTCGGCTTCCGTCGGTCTCCCCTCGTTGCATCGAAGCACAACGGCACCGACGACACTGGCTGGATCACAAGGCGGCACTGGCAGCAGGTTCTACAGATCGTCCGTCGGCGCTGGCCCATCGAAGAAGGTCGTCAGCAAAGAAGCAGGACTGCAGAGCTTGAAGAGCTTCTTCCGTGCTCCAGCCAGCAGCAGCCAGACTGCAGTCAAGGAGGTCAAAGCAGCAGCGAGTGCAACCAAGGGGGAGCGGACGCCGCTTGCACCACGCGACACAAATCGGCCAATCAACTCGAGGCCTCTGGCGAAGGAGGCAGAGGTCGAAGCAAAGCCGACGCAGAGCAAGTTCTTCGCCCGTTCCACAGCGATACTGACGCCAAAGTCGCCTGTTCGGTCACAAGACGCGAGGACGGACCATGCATATCTGCATCTTGGCGGCCAGCTGACGCCGCCGAAGCCGCGACAAGATCCGAACGATTCTGGGTACTGGGATGACGAGTGTGCTGACATGCATGACTTTGTCAAGTCGAGCAGTCCGCCTCGTCCACCGTCCGTGGTGCAGGAGTCGCAGCCGCTCGTGATGGACACACAGGAGTTCTGGCAGACGCAAGTGGTCGAGAGCAAAGTGGAGAGCGTCGTTGCTACACAGGTGGTGCAAAGCACGGCGTCTTCTTCGAGTGCGGCGGTGGTAGTGCCACAGACGCCGTCGAGAAGCAGGGAACGGATGCACTCGGCGTCGACAGAGGGCGACGCGGTGCTGTCTTCGCCCGAGAGCGCAATCGGCAGCGGCTTCATCTCGTCGCCAGCCTCATCGTCGGTACGAGGTGGCATGGACGGGTTGAGTTCTACGCAGAAGCGGACGGTCGACGGATGCGACTCGGACACACTACCCAGCTCGCCGCTGCTGGGTTGTCGTCCGACTCATCTGGATCAAGAGGACGACGAGGTGCAAGCAGAGCCCATGACACCACTAGCCGCGCGGAATGGTAATGTGCGCAAGCCAATGCTGCATACCAGCGCCAGCATGTCCAAGCTCGAGGCGTTTAGGTACATGCAGACGCCTCAGCAGGGACAGCAGCAGCAGGAGGAAAAGGGTCGAACAACTCATCCGAGACGATCGACGGATGCCAGCGCTGCGGTCTCCCCATCGGTGCTGAAGCTGGCAGCTTGTGCGAGTACGCCTCTGACGGCGACCCGGCCGACTAAGGTGCTCAAGCGGAGTCCGACGCTACTGTTGAGCGGCGGTGAGGAGGTGGAGACGGCGAAAGCTTCGAGAGGTGTCGGTGGAGGTGGTGGTCTCTTTGACAGGTTCCGGTTCTCAGAGTCGACCTCGACGTCGGCTTTGTCGAGGCAGCAGCTTCCTTTTTGATTGATTGTGGACCTCAGCAATGGCAAATGAACTTTGGTGGATTTGAAGATGCCCATGTGTGTGTGTCTGCGGCGCGTGGGCGCGTGGCTCGCTATGACGGGCGGAGAATTAAATTTCGACAGCTGCTTGGCATCGAAGATCGGTTGTCTGGCTTGCTCCAGAATCGGAATTGTTGATCAAGTACAAGCCTCTTTTGTCTCTACTTTGTCGTCCACCACCACATCGACACCACTCGACTTCGCACCCACATCCATCATGGCAGGTCGGAGCAGCGGCAGCAAGCGGCGCATGACGCTGCAAGATGCGCAAGGCGCGCCGATGGCCGGTTTCGCCGGGCTCTTTGTCGGTCTTTGCCTCGTATTCTCCTTCATACCGCTTTCGACCTTCTTTCCTGGCTACGACACCAGTCCCACAGGTCAGCAGTCGCTACCGCGAAGACTCCAGAACGACCTGAACCTACCGCAGCCCGTATGTAAGACCGAATTCTCCAACCTCTACCAGCAGCTTATGGCCAACGAGGCGGCGTGGCGGCGCAAAGGCGGGATCAAGCACGCCGACGTTCAGAATGCCGCGCAGAACTGCCGTCACGGTTGCGTCCACGTGGTGATCAAGTATGGTCAGATCTTTGTGCGTGGTCAGGCGAAGGACTGGCAGAGCCGCGTGCGGTCGACGCTGCAGCTGCTTGCGAGCGCATACCAGGGGGCGAGCGAGGAGGAGAAGGATGCCATCGAGGGAGCCGAGCTCGTAATTTCAACGGCGGACTTTGATGGCTTTACAGACCCTGTAGGCAGCCGAGGCGCGGGGTGGGTGTTGGATCGAAGGGTCGGCGATAAGGAGGGACAGTATCTCTTCCCCGACTTCTCCTTTGCCAGTTGGCCAGAAGCGGGCATTGCCTCGTACCCCGAGTTCAGGCGGCAAGCGGCGCAAGTAAATGCGGAGACGCCGTGGAGGACCAAGTCCAACCCAGCCTTCTGGCGAGGTGACGCTCTGGCGGGAAACCACATCAAGCCGCGCGAGTCGCTCCTCAGCGTCGCCACCGGTCCAGGCTCCGAGCTGTGGTCCGACGTAAAACGCACCAGCTTCTGGGAAGAAGGTCCGGATATCGGAAAGATCGTCTCGCCCCCAGAGCATTGTCGGCACAAGTTCCTGGTTCATTCCGAAGGCGTGGCCTATTCGGGGCGAAGCAAGTTCATTTTGGGTTGCGAGTCAACCGTGGTCATGCACGCACTGGAGTGGGAACAGCACTTTCACCCTGCGCTCATTTCAAACCCCAACTCGGCGGACAGGAACCATGTTCTTCTCGACGGGGCGTACTTCGAGGGTTTGCCGGCGACGATGCAGGCGTTGATCGCAGAGGAGCGGGCCGGAGGGGGGATGACGACGGGAGAACGCATTGCCAGGAACGCAAAACGAACTCTGACGGACCGATACCTCACACCGGCTGCGACAGCGTGCTATATCAGAGCCGCACTGATCAGCTACAGGAGGGCGATGGACGCGCGCAGCTGGCCCACAAGGCAGGGCGCCGTGCTGGAGCTCGGTGGGGGAGTCAAGCCGGGCGCAGGGACGCCCAAGGGGACGTTGAAGGAGTTGGGCGTCAAGGGTGACATCGAGTACGGCGTCTGGTTGAATTTGGGCATGCCCGAGTGGCCGCCTCAATGAGGAACACGGACAATCACATCATCTTTTCAAGGGACTGCTTCTCAAGACTGCCTCAGACGATTGAGAACGGAAAAGTGCCTGAAGATTGAGCATTGAGCTTTCGGCGTTCTGGCCTTTGTGCGGTGAGTTCTACGATCAGAATTGGTGGTCAAAGATGTCGTCCTCTCGTTCGCGACGAGGAGCGCTGCTGACCACCACTGGAGATGCGGCGCCCATTGGCTCCGCCTTGCCGGAATTATTGCGGCCCGAGGGCCGTGACGGGAACGTGGATCGGTACGGATCCTCGGGCGTGTTGATGCTGAGCGACGAGGTGGTGCTGCTGAGGCTGCTTCTCCTCCTCGTGTGGCCGTGGCTCTGAGTCGGCACCCAGTCGTTCGACTCGGTATGACGATGGCCTCTCCCGTTGAAAATCGACAGCTTCGACTGCTTGCTCGGCAACGCATGGTCGTAGCTCATCTGTGGCTGGCTGGGATCCTCGTTGATGTACTGGTCTGGTTCGACCAGTCCTGTCTTCTGCGGTCGCACCTCGCTGGTCGAGTGCACGTTCCATGGCGCGGTGACATCGTCCCGGCTGTTATCCCGCTCCGCCTCGACAACATGCGCGTTCCCCTCGTCGTCATAAACGACCCTCTGACTGGGCGGCAGCCTATCGTTGTATTGACCCGTCCAAGCGCGCTTCTTCTGCAGCTTCTTGGCCGGTCGATCGTCTACCAGCCCGTAGCGTATCGCCCACTTGGGCGTTCGCGCCGCCGTATCGTTATTTCGAATATTCTGGATGAACCAGTTGTGTATGTGACCAGGGATGAATGCGCAGCAGGTGAGAAGGACGTTGATGAAGAAGTCGCGCCCGATGCCGAAGCGGGTGGCCACGGCGAGAGGCGGAAAGAGGAAGCCGAGGACGACGAGGAGACCCGTGAAGCCGTAATGATTCTTCCAGCTAAAATCGATCTTGCCGTCCTCTTTGCGTGGAATGCCATTGCGGAGGAGCTTGGACATGGTTGCTGTAGTCTAGGGCTTTTAGGAACTTAATATGCTGATGCGTACGCAGAGTAGTTTCACGATACCGTGACGGAAATGTATGTGTCGAGTGTAGAGCAGGACGTTGATGAGGCTGTATATGGCGTGGATGCGTCTATCTGTAGCCTTTGGATGACAATGGTGGATGAATGACAAGACGCACCTCGAAAGCACGAACGATATGTGATCTGGGAGTGCGGGGAAGACTCAGCCCCAGCGCATTGAGCTGTCAAGCCATTGACAGGGTCCCGCTGCTGCTGTAGCTTGCTGCTGCGCTCAGTCAAGATCATGCTTGGCGCGGCATTCGCCGAAAAATCGTCGGCGCAGCGACACTGGAGGAGGGTGACGTGGGAGCGCACAACTCCGACAATCACACAAACTCAAAACGCCCTCTAGCTCGCGATGCTTGTTGCAAACCTCGCCGGTCAACAGGCGAGGTAAGCCAACGTGCTCCGATTCGGCTATGCTTTTTGCGCCCTGGCTTGGACAGGTGAGGGTCAGAGAGAGGGTTTGGGTCTCGAAAGGGAAGCGAGGCTTGGCAGCCCAATTTCGATTTTCGTTCATTTCCGCAGGGAGGGCAGGCTGCAGGTGAATGGCTGCATGGGCGCATGTGGCAGTGCGTCATGCTGCGTCGAACCCCGCCGCGCGACTCAGGGCGTGCAGCGGGGTTCTCGGTCCTTCAGGGTCGCCTTTTTCTGGCCCTTGTCAAGCGAGCGCAATGTATCGACGATGCTCAACAGATCAGATCGAGCACGTGAAGACGACACAGACGATGAAAGCATAGATGAGAAGGATGGAGGTCGATTGCGCCTGCTCGTATCACCGATAACAAGGCATGCGCAACGACAGTCAGGGACAAGGCTAGAGAATCGAAGGGTTGAAGAGTAGAAGATGGTTTGTGGGGGAGCGACACGAAACGAGACGTCAAGTTCTGCCGCTGCCGAGGTGTCGAAGAGGTGGAAGAAGGGTGGGAGAAGGCCAAAGGTGACGATCAAGACATGAATCGTCTTGAGACAGACCAGTCGAAGGGCAGCTAGAAGCTGGGCATGTCACCGCCGCCGCCGTACTTCGCGCTTTCGCTGTCGCCGAAGGAACTGGAAGAGCTGCCTCCGCCGCTACCACCGCTCATGCCTGACATACCGCCGGAGCTGTCGCCACCTTTGGCAGAGCTGGAACCGCTGGAGTCGCCGTATCCACCAGAATCACCCTTCTCCTCGCTGTCCTCGCCCTTGCCGGAGTCGTCAGAGCCCTTCTCGGAGCCACTCTTGCCAGACTCGCTGTAGCCGCTCGATCCGCCAGACTCGCCAGACTCCTCCCCTGAGCCACCCTTCTCGTCGCCGCCAGAGCCCTTGTCGCTGTCGCCGCCCTTCTCGTCACCGCCAGAGCCCTTGTCGCTGTCGCCGCCCTTCTCGTCACCACCAGAGCCCTTGTCGCTGTCGCCGCCCTTCTCGTCACCGTCAGAGCCTCCGTAGCTATCACCGCCCTCCTTGTCGTCTTCTCCGCCCTTGTCACCTTCGCCCTCGCCAGATCCGCCGGGCTTGCCGGAGCCTTTGTCAGAGCCTTCGTAACCAGAGCTGTCGTCGCCTCCCTCTTCGCCACCGCCGGGCTTGCCACCCTCTTCGTCGCCTGAATCGCCCCCCCTATCATCGCCCTTGCCCTCCTCGCCATAGCCGCCCTCGTCGTCGCCCTTCTCCTCGTCCCCGTAGCCACCCTTGTCATCGCCACCCTTCTTCTCGTCACCGTAATCGCCTTCGCCAGAGTCGGAACCCTCTTTGCCTTCGCCCTTCGAGTCACCCTCCTCACCCTCGCCTCCAGATTTGCCACCGTAAGAGCCGTCTTCGCCGCCGGACTCCTCGCCGCCCTTCTTGAAGCCGAACGGAGGACCGTGACCCTTGGAATCGTCCTTGATATCGATGCCTTTGATCGAGAGGAAGCTAGAGGAGTCGCCCTTGCCGCCGTCGCCGAGAACAATGAAGTCGTAGAAGCGAGACTTGAGGTTGCTCACGGTGCCAGCGGAGTGTTCATCGGTGGCGACGAGGCTGTTGTCAGTCGAGACGGGGCGCGCATCGACGCACGCAGGCAGAGCCAGAACGACAAAGGCAAGAAGAGCCTTGAAGGGGATTGAGAGGCGCGCCATGACTGGCAAGAGGTCTAGATGGGATTCGTAGAGCTGTAGTGAGGTTCTATGAGTATGTAGATGAGACGTTTGTGAGTGTAGTGGGAGGTGTTTGAGGATCAAGTTGAGGTGTGGTTGCAATTCAAATCCGAGCCACCGAAGGGGCCTGCTTATATGCTTCAGACGTTGAGCTGCGTGTGTTCGATGGAGTAGGAACCCGCACGGAGCTCAGCCACACATTGAGAGGCTGTCTGTCGGCAGTGCTGTCTGCTGTTTGCCTTGATCACGGACGAGCACGTCGCTGTGGCGACGAAGCGTATTGCCGTTTCTTTGCGGCAAGAAAGCAGCACCGTCGGCATGGCCTTCGAGCTGTCAGTGCTTCCGTCGGGACACATTCAGCTTCTGTTCCAGCCAGCGCAAGTCTTCCCCGAGGATTGGCGCAGCAAAAGGTCTGAGCTGCGGAACGTCTCCGGCAGAGCTGGCGAAATTTCGAGAAGAGCAACGCCGGTACGAACGCAGAAGGGTGGGCTTTGCCACAGTCGCTGAAGCTCGAATCACTTTCTCCTGCTCGGCACTCCCCGTCTCAGCGCATGACGTTCTCTGCGATGGTCAGGTGGCGTGAGACGAATTCGGGTCCTTTCAGAGCGACTGGGTCGGACCGTTCCGGCAGTTCAGGCCAGACCGAAGAGTCAGTGGGGAGATGCGACACTCTTTTAAGAGCGGAGCGCTGCCGTGAGGCACAGAAGTTCAGTGTCACTGATGCATTGCTCAGCCACACTCTCACTGCGAAGAGTTTGAGTGGGAATGGTAATGTGACTTTGATGAGGAGACCTGCCCACGGAAGCACGCCGATACGCTGAGCATTCGCGCGCTACGCGAGGCTCGCTTCTCAGCGCTCAGACTTCAGGGGTGCAGCTCGGATTTCTCCAGCTTTTTTCCCACGAAACTCGCGTGTGCCGCAACTCAACACGCAACACGGTGAGGTGGACCCTGAATCTCGAATTGACACGATAGGATGGGGGGTCTGTGAATCTCACGAGACTGTTGCCATCGTTCCATCGCCAATACCTGAAGGTCAAATCGTCCTTTGCAAGCTACTTTGCTGCGATAGTACTCGCCCCGCCATTCGCACCGGCGGAAGCATCCCGCAGGATGCAAAGACCATCAGCATCGCTATAGAAGCGGTCGTCGTCCGACAGCATCACCTTATCGGCTCCTCCGATCGATCCTCCCACGATCCTCTCGTTCTTCGGATAACATCGGGTCTCACGGTGACGGAAGTCGTCCAACGTGGCTGAGCCGCGCAAGGATGTCGAGTCGACCACTCGTGATCTCTGCGTCGCTGGCGCTCGTCCCGCCATTGCTCCTCAGCCTTGCGTTGCGGCTGCACTGGACCGGCTTGCTCTGGGCTTCTCCGCTCCTTCTACTCGGCTGGTCCGTGATCCTGCTTGCTGCTTTCCTCTACGCTTGCCACATCGCTGACGCTCAGAGCGACCGACGGTATCGCTACTCTCACGAGAGCCTCCGATCCTTACCACGCCTCGCCTTCCTCACGCCGGCAGCTTGGTCGGCACAACGAACGCGCCTGCAGTGGGCCCGCGAATCGCACAGCTCAGCATCCGCTCCATCACGGAAGCGCGCCGATGCTTCGGCCCTGACTCGAGTCACAGACGAGATCGTCGAGCTAATTCTGCGCGACTTTGTCTGCAAATGGCACACTCCCCTAGCAACAGGGTCGGACAATCCGACTGCGAATGACTCGGCCCCCGAGTTTGTCCAGGCAGTGGAGCAGACGATTCGAAATGCGCTCGACAAGGTTACCGCCACCATCAAGCGACTTGATCATGCCGATCTCGTCGTGCGCAGGCTGACTCCCAAAATTAGCGCGCACATTCGTTCTTACCGCAAAGCAGAGGCCGCGTTCCGCGGGCCTTCCGAACGTGCTCAGCTCGCCAGCTTCGAGAGCGACCAAAACGATCTCTTCCTTGCTCGCAAGTTCGAGAATGGTCGTCTTCATCCCGCCGTCGGCGACATGAGCAGTCCCAACACCAGACCTGCAGAGCAAGCCTTCCTTCGATCGGTGTGTACTCGTCTGCTTCGTGTCTTCATGCCATATCCGGAGAGCGAGAGCCCTTCGGTTCAGATCATCGTTCGCGAGCTGCTCAGCTGCACCATCCTTTTCGCGATCATTGAGTCCATCAGCGATCCCGACTTCTGGAATCACCTTCTAGAGCAGAAAGCCGGTGCCGTCATCCACGAACAGATCCTGGTCAGCAAGTTGCGCGATGCTCTGGACAAGCAAGAGACGCTCTCGAGCATCAAGACCGGCAAATCACGAGCTGTGCCTTTCATCGACATCGAGGCCAAGAACCTCCTGCCTTGGTCGCAGGAGACCAAAAAGCCGGACCAAAAGTCGTTCGATGCTTTCCTGCGATCCATCAAACACGCGACTTCTCTACTCGAGGTTCGCAGAACCAAGAATGACATTGCCGTACAGATCAGAAAGACAAAGACAAACCTAGAACGCCTCTCTGAAGAGCCATCCAACTCTTCCCGCGCAAAGCTTCAATCCTATCTCAAACGCCTCGAGACTGCATATGCCCTCGCTGATCAGAAGATCGCACAGCTTGGCTCCGACAAGGGCCTTCCAACGGTGTCAGCCAAAGTCTCGGCAGGCGCGGACCCGAATGCCTCTCGAGTCAAGCTCCACGATGTCCTACTCAATCCATCCAGCCTGTCCTTCTTCATGGAGTTCATGGACCGTCGCAAGAGATCCGTCCTAGTCCAATTCTGGCTTTTTGTAGAGTCCTTCAAGAATCCCCTCGAAGACGCCGAACCGGATCCGTCAACGGACCGAGAGCAGCTCCGCGCTGCAGCGAGTGCCTCTCCGCCATCCCGAGCAGCCGTGCAGACCCTCAAAGAGGACCTTCGCATGTTCGACAAGGTCTACTATTCTTCGCCCGCGATCAAGGTCTCACAGCGATACGTCGAGAGTGCCAGACAATTCCTCAGGGTCGACGACGAGGTCTCCATCACGGCTCTGCAGGTGATGCGCGTTAGACGTGACGTCTTGCACGCTCAGAAAGAGATCTACGAAGACATGGAGGTGGAGGACTGGCCGCGCTTCCGCGACAGCGAACTGTTCGTCAAGGCCGCCCAAGACCTGGGCCCCAATGCTCATCTTGCCGCTGGTCTTGCTTCCAGTGTAGGTTCGCTGGCCGCAGAGGCGCAGCCTTCCATGGGCCAGAAAGCTGTGGAGGTACAACGTCCGGTCGTACGGTCGACAAAGTCCCACTTGGAGCACTCGGACCTGTTCGGAACGGACAAGCCCGTGGGCGCCGAAGCGAAGCAGCCCGACCTCTTTGGCGATTCGCCCAGCGGCAGCAGATCAAAAGCGAGTGCAAAGTCGGACAACTTGGACATCCTCATCGGCGGGCGGACTCAGCACGCCGGACCAGACGGAAGGACACCGCTCTTTCGTGAGGATCCGCTTTTTGACGAACAGGAAGATGACGGCGATGAGCAGGGCGACAATAGCTCCGACTTTATCCAGGTCGAGAAGATGGACGAGCTGCAGAGCGTGCTTCAAAGCATCATCGATGACGACCTCGACAAAAGTCGAAAGCGTCCAGGCGCGTTGGCATCGTCAGGGCCGACCGGCGGCAAGAGCTCGGCACGTAGCAGCGATCCAGATGTGAATGCAGGTTCGACCGACAGCAGGAAGGGAAGCGGCAACTTCAGCAACTCGGACGATGCTAGTCGACCTCGCACACCTCGGGAAACCACAGCGATCTCGGTCCTCGACGAATTCGGGCCGAGCAACGCCTTCGCTGGCCTACCGAGCTTCAATCTGCGCAATGAGATCCAGAAGATGGATGCGCAGCTCGAGAAGCTTGAAGCTCAAGCGGACATCTTGGAGGCGCTGGCCCGCAAAGCCGAGCTGACAGGTGCGAGAAGCAGCGAGACGCGGCTGTTGGCTCAATCGATCCAAGCCGTCCGACGAGAAGCCCGCGACATCCGATGGCAGCGCAGCCAGCTCGAGCAACAGATGGCCGAGACTCAGCTGATCCCCGGACAGACCAAGATTTCGATCCAAGACACGATGATCTCGATCGACCACGAAGGCAAAGAGTTCGCGGTCTATCTCATCGAAGTTGGCATCCTGGAGCAGCAAAATAGCAAGTCCACTGCTCCCAGCAAAGGCGGTGAAGTCAGTACCTCGACAGCGCGTGGCTGGATCGTTGGCAGAAGGTACTCGGAGTTTTGGGCTCTGCATCAAGCGTTGAAAGAGCGATTCGCCGAGGTTCGGGCTCTCGAGTCAGAGTTTCCAGGAAAGAGGCTGGTCGGCCTCGTGCACGCTCCCTTCGTCGATGCACGGAAAGCGTCGTTGGAGAAGTATCTGCAGGCTCTGGTGAGGGTCAAAGTGGCTTGCGAGAGTGAGGAACTACGAATGTTCCTTTCCCAGGATCCCACCGCCACAACGTCTAGCCTCGGGTCGCGAGCCTCCAGCGACGCCGCCTTCCCTACACAGCCAATTAGCTCCGGCCCGGCAACACCAGGGAAACAGTCTGCTGCATTCCCCGGAGGTGCATTGGTCAAGACTCTGTTCAAAGGCATGACTGGCGTCGCCGAAGGCCTCGACGACTTGATCGGCATCGGTCCGTCCATGCTTGACGTTGTCGTCCAACGTCTCTCGACGCAGATGCAGACCAAGTCGAGTGCCTCCCTGGTCCAAGGCATCGCCGATATCGACATGGTGTCTCAAGCGATGGACAAAGATGCCACGCATGCTGAGCTGCGCGAAGCAGCAGGCGCGGGTACCACGTACTGGACCGAGCCCATCTGCGATCTCTTTACCGAGCTTTTCGAGCTGGACGAGAAGAACAACTGGCTCCGTCGTCAAGCCATCGTCATCCTGCTGCAGCAACTGTTTGGATCGACGGTGGAGAGGAAGATCCGCGAAACCTTCTCTGCCGCGCTTTCACCTACGTCCATCACCGGGTACGTCACGGCTTTCAAAGCGAGTCTATGGCCCAACGGCGTGCTGAAGGAACCGACCCCGCCGAGAACGAGGGCCGAGAAGGACCTGCTCAGGGAGAATGCGAACAGCAAGCTGGCGACCCTCATCCCCGAGCTCGCAGCCAACTTTGTGGGCCGCGAGAACGCAAGGAAGGGAACGCGCAGAGTGTTCTCCGCATTGCAGAACAAGCGGCTGAACAAGCATCTCATCTATAGCTTGTTGGACGTCGTTGTGGATGAGCTGCTCGCCGTGCCGTCCGTTGCACTGGCAGCGAAGGGATGAAGTTATTGACTGAACAGAAACGAAACGTCACAGCTCTGCTCTTCGGTCTGTGTCTCTTTCGTGTGCGTGATGATCATCTTGTCGGGGGCTGAGCTGCGGCTCAAGTCGACGACACCCTCAGAGAGAGCGTCGTTGCCAGATCAAGCATCAGAGAAAGTCTTGACAGCGCGGAGAAGCGCGGGTATCATTGCAGAGAGGGACAAGGGATGGGGATAATCATGCTGGGTCATCGAGTATACGACGGGATCAGTCGATGGACACGTCTGGATAGCTTGGCAGGTTGCCACCGTACGGCATGTTGGGAGCTGATCCATCGCGAGAGGTTGCGTTCGAGTCTGCACCGCCGGAAAAGACGACGTCGATCGATTGGAGAGACACGGATGCCAACGAGCTGTCCATCCCGCTCAGTTCGCTGAGCTCGGAAAACTGCGACGAGCTCGACGGAAGGTGCCCACTCTGACTCAAATCTGCAACGGAACTGTCGAATGTCACAGAGGACTCCAAAAGATCCGTGGCTGCTGTGGTGTCGGCTTCCGCGTTGTTGCCGTCTTCGTCCAACTCTCGCTGCATTTCCTCTAGCTCGGCCGGATGCAGGACCTTGCCGCCAGTGTGTTCAGGCTTGTCGTGCTCTGCCAGGATGGCCTTCCGCGCTTGTTCGACCATGTGATCCACGAGAAGCTTGCAGCGTTGATGGGCAGCTTCCAACTCCGGATCGTCTTTGACCAAGAGATCGTCATCGTCGTCGTCGCTATCTGTGAGATCGTCCTCGTCGCTGAACGCCGCACTGCCCGCTGAGCTGCGGGAAGTCGCCGCGACGGGAAGACCTTTGCCGTCTCGCAGCCGCTTTTTCAGTTCGCGAATCTCTCTTGCCTGCTTGAGCTTGGTCACCTCGAGCGCCGAGTTGATGGCGAGAAGACTCCTGTTGGTGATCTCGAGGTCGAGCAGCTTGCGATGGACACGTGCCTCATCGGCCTCTCCCACCTCGCTGGGTGATCGCGGCGTTTCGGAAGAGGGCGAAAGAGGTTGGCTGGCAGCAGAGTGCGTGGAAAAGGTGCTGGACGCATAACTGGAGCGGTGTTCAGCATTTGGACGCAACGGTACAGCAGCCATCGCTAGGTCCATGAAACTAGAAGGTAATGCGGCTCGCTGTGATGCAGACGTAGGACGAAAAGAGGCTCGGCCGGTGGTCATCGCTGAGCCGGGCTCCGAACGGGCGGCAGCATTCAGGCTGGACGAAGCTTGTGAGTCGCTCGGCAGGATCACATCAAGTACTTGTTTGCCGACGGAATTCCCATCGCTATTGGTCGAGCTGAGACGTCTGGTCGACTCTGCACTTGCGACAGCTGGGGGTGCAGTGGCAGGTATGGATGCCTGTCGACCAGGCACGATGGGCTCGGAATGACGCGTGTATGGGTGCGGCTTGGGTGGACTCGTCTGCGGAAAGTATGAAAGGGCGGTCCGAGACGGCGAAGCTGGCGGCAACTTCGGCGAGGGAGATCTGTTCTGTGGTCTGGTGGCGGCTCGGTCGAGACTTTCCTGAGATCGCTGCGGCGAAAGCAGATTTCGATTTGGTACGTTGAAGGTAGATCGGGCCGACGTAGAGGGTATCGATGGCTTCTGAAACGGTGACTGATCTGCTCGCGGTACGGGCGATTTGATTGCTACGGCTGAGGCAAGCTGCGAGCTCGCCGAGAGTCTTGGGCTTGGAGAGGCAACGGCGGGCGAATTCCGGCCCAAATCGATGCTGCCATTGCTTGCTCGGACCTTTGGCGAGCGTAAGGAGTTCGGATCGATGGGACCTTCCAGCCTGGCTTCTGCGAGCCGGTAGGACGAGGCACTGATACCGACCGTGGAGCCTGATCTGGTGTGAAAGGTCGGAGTGGACCGCACGGTGGGCGAGGGCGCTGAGATTCGGGCGGTGATCGTGCTTGGTCCAGCTGTAGAGGCGGAGACCGGCCTGCCAGCCATAGAAGGCGACATAGCGGGACTGGATGCAGCCGAGGAGGGACTTGCAAATGCAGACATGTCCACGCGTGCGCGACCAGTGCCCGGCGCAGGACGAGTGGCGGTCGGAGTGACATTGTTGGAGAAGGAGGGCGAGGAGTAGCCATGCTGAGCTCTGACAATGCGTGGTCGCGCATTTGGGGTCACAGAGCTGGAAGGAGATTCGGAAGGCGCAGCATCCATTCGTCCCATGACCTTGCGTTTGGCGACCGCTGTGGGCGTTGACTGCGACATGGCGGCGGGCCGGAGAGGTGGTGAATCAGGTCTGGTGTAGATGGGTCTGCCTCGGGGGAATCATTTGCACTTCCTGACGTGATGACCCGTCCTCGGAATGGCAGGAGGTAGTTTGGTGCGCTAGCGCGGGCTGACCATTCTGCTGAAAGCGATCGCTGGTGCTGATCGGATTGCTGCGCGGCTCAGGTCAAGCAGCAGCCATGGGTTGGTGATGGAGATGGCGAGGATGGATGGGGATGCGGTGGAGGCAGCAGGGAAAGGGATCCGCATCTGGCAACGCACGCACGCGACGTAATCGAGTGGACCCTGTCCAACACACAATCGTCCGCGGTGATTTTCACGGCGAGTCTTAATTTTTGTATCAGGCTGTTACCTCAATCGTCATACCCTACTCAACCGCACAGACGGGCATCAGACAGGAGTGGTATCATTGCCTTGCGACAAAGTGCTATGCGAACAGATCCCAGTCACGGATACATAGAGACGCTGCGGCGGATTCGAAAGCGTCTTGTGCCTGAGAGGCTTGAGGGGTGTCCTGCGTCTTGCCAGGCTCATTGACGCTGAGGACGAGATCAATTCCCTTGGCCGGCAGTCTCCAAAGCGCGACACGAATGTTGACAGGCTCTTCTGGCTCGGTAGCTTTGCCGAACTTGCGGACGAGCTGGGTGCCTGTGAGTGTCGCCGGTTGTGGGGTGGCGGGCGGTATTGTCGCTTGTGATATGGTGTGTGTTTCGTGGACGGTAGAACTGCTGGCCGAGTTGTCATGTGCGAGAGATGAGAAGTGGAATCTGTTGCAGAGAAAGGTGATGAGAACGTCAGCACACTGCGCTGCTCGTCGTTCGGCATGAGGATATTGATGACCTACCTGACGGCCTTGTCTAGGTTCTCGTCGGCTCCTTCGTCGGTCGCGAGCTGCAGCACCTCGATGATGAGGCTTATGTCCGAATCATCGCGAACCAGCACCTCTTGATTGTCGGGTACTTGTCGGAAGTCGCTGTATAGGTCGTCAAAAGGCGTGTCGCGCTCAACGTTGTCAGTCCTGCGACACTGTGTCAGAGCGAGATGATAAGCTAGAACATACCTTGCATCGATGAAGCCTTTGGGCAATTCGACAGTGATGGCACCGCCAAACAGAGCTCTTGTTTCTCTCGCTTGCGTCATGGTGTACGGACGACCGCAGATCGAGTCGAAGCCAGTGTAAGCTGTCAGAAGAGCGGGTGGATCGATCTGAAAGAGAAGAGGAAGGGTGGAGGTGAAGACTGATGTGGTCTTGCTTTGTCATCTGCTGTCAGCCAGGTCAACTCACATGCATGTTTGTTTGAAGCAGCGTTTGGCTGTGTTGGGCTGAAGCTTGGAACTCACAACTTGTCGCAGGGACTTGGCTGCACCCTGTCAATCCGTGATCCTCTGAAAAGGCTTGGTCCCGCGCTCGGCTGGCTCGGCTGTGTTGGTGTTTCTTCGCGTTTTGGAATCTTAAACGGTGGAAAAAACGCGCCACTTTGGCTCAGCGTGAACCTGAAATCATGAGATTTGCGTGTGCGTGTTCGCTCCGCCGTGATGTGCCGCGCTGTCCAACGTGCGTCTGTCTGTCTGTCGGTTGTCGATCTTGCTTGGGAAGAAGCGGTGCCGCTGCACAAACATAGTCGCAGTGGTACATCCTCGTCGCTTCTCAGGCAACCACTACCACACATCCTACATCCATTCCCCTGTATATACGACATTCAGTGAGTAGCATACCGCACTTGCCCGCTGTCACCTTTGGCGACCTCGTGCTGATCTTTCTCTGCGTTTCGTCGTCCTGCTGCACACAGCAATGGCTCCTACCGCTACCAACGTCCGCAACAACGAGGGGATCGCCAACTACACAAAGTTCTGGCAGAAGGATTCCAAGGATGACTCGGAAACCGACATGGCCAACCGCCTTTCCGAGTACACCTCGGTCGTCAACGGCTATTACGATGGTGCCACCGACCTCTACGAGTACGGCTGGGGCCAGAACTTCCACTTTGCCCGCTACTATCCCGGTGAGGCTTTCATGCAGGCCATCGCTCGCCACGAGCACTACCTAGCCCACCAGATGAACCTCAAGCCCAAGATGCGCGTTCTCGACGTCGGATGCGGTGTCGGTGGTCCCGCTCGCGAGATTGCTCGTTTCGCCGATGTCAACGTCGTCGGTCTCAACAACAACGAGTACCAGATTCAGCGTGCTCGCAAGTACACCGAGAAGGCCGGTCTCTCGGCTCAGGTCGAGTTCGTCAAGGGCGATTTCATGAAGCTCGACGAGCAGTTTGGCGAGAACAGCTTCGACGCCGTTTACGCCATCGAGGCCACCTGCCACGCTCCCAACTTCGAAGGCATCTACGGTCAGATCCAGAAGATTCTCAAGCCCGGAGGAATCTTCGGTGTCTACGAATGGTGCATGACCGACGCATGGGACCCTACCAACCCTGAGCACAAGCGAATCGCTCACGGCATCGAGGTCGGTGACGGTATCCCCGAGATGCGCTCCATCCAGAACGCCAGGAACGCTCTCAAGAAGGTCGGCTTCCAGATTGAACACGAGGAGGACCTCGCTGACCGTGGCGACAAGATCCCCTGGTACTACCCCATCGCCGGAAGCTTGAGGGATTGCCAGACCGTTTGGGACTACTTCACCGTCGCTCGTATGACCAAGGTCGGCCGTGCGACCACCCAAGGTGCCGTCAAGGTCCTCGAGAAGCTTCGTCTTGTACCGCAGGGTACTCACTCGGTCGGTGCCTCGCTCGTAGTGGCCGCCGATGCTCTCGTGGACGGTGGCCGCACCAAGCTTTTCACGCCCATGATGCTCTTCGTTTGCCGCAAGCCCGAGTCCAAGTAAAGGCCGCCTCCGCCAGAACGCTCCATCTGCTCCCATCGTACGCCGTCTGACCACAGGTCGGACCATAGCACTACACATACATCATCAAGCTCCCGACCCGGCTTTATTCACACTGTCACTTCGCGTTCGCCATCGTAGGACACCTTCATCTAATTGCAAGGAATAAAATCCATTCAGAGATCAGCATCGTTCAACCAGTCTTCTCCCAGAGCTGATATTCGTACCACGTCTCGCCTTCGTTCGTCAGCATGTCTGGCGATTCCGCAAGTGCAGGCGGGCATGCGCTGCCCAGATACTGTCGCAACGCTTCTACTGACGCCTGAGTCCACGCTTGCTGCTTGAGGAGACTCGATGGCCCCTCGTGCGGTGTTTTTGTCTCGTTGCTCTTCTCCTGTCCTGCGAGAATCTTATTGGCCTGATCCAGCTCCTTCGAATATTGCTCCTGCGTCCTAAACTCGGGGAAGTATACATCGCACTCGTACCGAGGTGTCAATATCCGAGTCACTAGCAGCTTGTCCACCACTGCTACGCTCGATTCCAGATGGAGAAGATCCGTCCAAAGCTGTGCGCCGCCGATTACGAAGACACGGATGACATTTGCTTGCGGAGTTGCTAGGTGCGACAGGGCTTGCTCGACCGATGAGAACACTTTCACGTCCTTCGAGTCCGGTTCGCTGTCGTCGATCGATCAGAGTACTACGATGGTCAGTATCGGTCTTGACTCGACATCAAGATCGGCTGTACTACTCACATTCCCAGATCTTGAGGGCTGGACGTTCGGCTGATCACGACATTGAGCCGGCCGTTGAGCGGGCGGAACTTTGGCGGAATGCTTGCCCAAGTCTTCCTTCCCATGATCACGGCGTTTCGCGCTCCTGTTCGCTCCGCCTCCTCCGGAACGTGGCTTGTGACTTTACGAAAGTACGCCATCTCGCCTTTCAGTCGCCAAGGCAGTCCGCCGTCCTTTCCGACCCCATTCGTCAACGACATAGCCGCGACCGTCGCCAGCTTGAGCTTCGGCATAGGGTGCGTAGATGTTCTGTGATGGACTGTGTGAACGCAAGAGGGAGCGTAGGATTTGTCCGCTGGCTAGATGAGATGCTCGATAGTCTTTTGGCGGATAGGAAGGTGTGATGGTGTTCAGGGTGGTGATGATTTCGGAAGCGGCAATGGAGCCATGGCGGAAAGAACAACACCGGGTCGAGGAAGATAAAACAATTCTTCGGTTCCCGAAGTTGCGGATCTGCAAGCACTGTACGCGTCGCGCGTGCCCTCCCTCTCTCCACAAACGGCAAACGACTGCCTGTGCTTCTCCGTGCTCTTCCCAAGAGGACCAGGCTGGCATCTCGTGCTGTATGAAGCATGGCTGCTTCGTCGCCCTACGTTCAGCTACCCCTAGGTCGCTGCTGCATCTGCCATCTGCCTGTACGCACGTTCTGAATCCTACAGCCCTGATGCTCCCTCCCCGAGCAAGGGACACTTCCCGTTCCTGTCCACGACTGGCCTGCCACCATCACCTCGTATGGCCTCCCTCCAGCATGTCTGCTCCCCAATCCGAACTCCCAGACGGTCTTGCCCGACGCCTTGCCTGGCAAGGCGTCATTCAATGATGGTCCATCTTCGGATGAACTTTTTTCCAATAGTCATGAGAACTCGATGTACGAACTTTCTGCTGACATTCCCACCAATTCGGACATTTTGATGCCACATCTCCGGAACCGCAGATCTGCAGCGCAGCACTCGTTCAAAAAAAAGCATCAGAAGGAAGCTAAAGAGACGAAAAAAGTCAGAGAAATCGCAAAAGACCGAAGCTAAGTGAAATCGTGACCGAGTCAAATGACTTCAGTGAAAAATTGTGAAAGCCAAAAAGTGCAACGGAGTGCTAGATTTTTTTCTCTGCTGCAAAATTGCTCTGTTTTTCGTTTCCCTGACATTGTCACAGCGGCTCGATCGATCGACAAATTCGGGAAGAGTGTTGCGCGGGCTAAGTTAGAGGCGAATCAGCTGCTCCCTCCGGCGACTCCAAGTCTCAATTTCATTGCAAGTAAGTTAAAAAGACGTTAAGGAGCAATTTGCCTTGACTGATTTTGCGAAAACACGCTCTTTGTCCAGATAACTCATGTGCCATCTAAAGTCGTGCAATTGTATAAAGAAAAGCAGAATTCTGACTGCTTCGGATTGACTAATGTGCTCTTGGATGCCACATCGAGGCGAAAAACTTACAGAGGGCTGAATGCCTGGGAGCAGCCTCCCTCATCGTCAATGGGATGCTAACACCAAAATTGCTACCGTCAATGTGATGCTGACACCAGAATTGCTACTGTCCTGTCTTGACGATAGCGAGCAAGAAACTGGCTGAGCGTGGCGTCGTAAGCCGAAGCTCTATAGCTAGAGTACGGACGTGTGGGTGACAACAGCCGTCGACGATGGGTTCGGATTCCGGAAGCTCGATTGGACCCTGGCCCTCCACAAGGAATGCAGAGTGTACTTGCAATCACTGAATCCTGCGCAAGCAACCCCCACCACCACCATCACGGTCTCCATTGACATCAGCATTACCTCGGCCTGCGTGCCCTCTCCGACGATGTCGTCGCACAGCGGCATCCTGCAGCGAGCTGGTCTGCTTCCGTTCCATTGCCAGATCGTCAACTCATTGGTACCAGGTCAGGACGACAGTCCGGACGAAGGCGATGCTCTGGTCATCATCGCGAGAGGCCTCGGCCTCCGCAGGATTGTCAGCACCATCCTGCGCATATACGACTCGCCGAACAGCCTCGTTATCCTGGTCAATGCCACATCCGAGGAAGAGAGTGGAATCGGGGAGGAGCTCACGACGCTCGGCGTTCGCAAACCTGGGCTTCGAGCCATTCATCACGAGATGCCTGCCAAGCAACGTTCGGAGATGTATCTGTCCGGCGGTATCATGAGCGTCACTTCACGTATCCTTGTGGTCGACATGCTCAGCAAAAGGATCCCAACGGGTCTCATCACTGGTCTGGTTGTTCTTCACGCCGAAAAGGTGACGCCGACCTCGGTGGAAGCATTCATTGCCAGGATCTATCGACAAGAAAACAAGGAGGGCTTCCTCAAGGCCTTCTCGGACAACCCTGAGCACTTCACCATGGGAATCAGCCCTTTACAGACGGTACTAAGCCAGCTACGTATCAGGAAGGTCGAGCTCTGGCCAAGGTTTCATCAACAGACGAGCAAAGATCTGGGCCAACGCAAGGCAGACGTGGTCGAGCTCCATCAGCCGCTGAGTCGGTCGATGCGCAATATCCAGACAGCCATCATCGAATGTCTTGATGCATCGCTTTCGGAGCTCAAGCGGGGCAATGCAAACGTCGAGACGGACGATTTCTCGATAGAGCATGCAATTTTCCGGGCTTTCGATGTCGTTGTACGAAGGCAGCTAGATCCCATCTGGCACAAGGTCAGCGCCAAAACAAAGCAGCTCGTCGGAGACCTTACGACGCTACGCAGCTTGCTCAACTACCTCCTCACCTATGACTGCGTCACTTTCAACTCGTATCTCGAGACCATCCTGGCTTCGAGCACAACGACATCCAAAGGCACAACCCGACAAAATCAATCCGCCTGGCTATTCATGGACGCGGCAAACGTTATCTTCCACGAGGCGAAGCGCAGGGTCTACATTTGGGACGAGGCACGGTGTCAGCAAGCAGCAGCGCTTGAAGATCAGGCATATGCAGACGACGAGGAAGCCTTGAGGCAAGCAGAAGGGGGCCGAGGACCTCAATCAACTCACGCAGGCCCGGTGCCACCAGAAGTTGAGCCGGTCCTGGAGGAAAATCCAAAATGGCAGCTACTTCAAGAAGTCTTGGACGAAGTCGAGCAAGAGATCCATTTCAACTTCGCTGCATCGGAGTCGGCAGCAGGCAACACCATCTTGATCATGTGCGGCTCCGAGAGGACCAGCATGCAGCTTCGACAGATCATCTCGTCCATGGACGAATGTCCTCCCGGAGAGCCAGGGAAAAAGTTGATGCAGCAACTCTTGCGGTCGTACTTTTTCTGGAAAGCGGGGCTTGGCAAATTGAACGCAGAGCAAAAGAACGGCCAAAGCAACGGCGATTCGCGAACAGGCTCGAACGCGGCACAGACTTCTTTGCCTCAGGCTGGTCCGATCAACGAGGCCTTGAAGCGCAAATTGGCGCATAGGAACGGTCAACAGGCTGCTATCAACAAGCGACGACGCCAGCGCGGCGGCTCCTCGGCGCAGTCGGCGAGCGGTCGATTCAGCAGTGCTACCGACGCAGCCGGCCAGGCAAACTTCGTAAGCGAAGCGGCGCAGGTCTCCGACTTCATCGCATCAGCGGCCACCGATGTCGAGACCGGATCGTCTACGCTCGAAGCTGAGCAGATCTCTGACGAGATCGACGAAGTTGAGTTCGATGCCTTCTTCGGAATGCTCAGCATGGAGAATCTGGTCGTTGTTCGATCTTACCGCGGTGACCAGGACGACAAAGTTCTTCAAGAGCTCCGACCTCGGTTCGTCATCATGTATGATCCAGATCCCGCATTCGTACGGCGAGTCGAAGTGTATCGCAGCACGAATCCCGGCGTCGGGGTGCGGGTCTACTTCCTCATCTACGCCGATTCGGTCGAGGAGCAGAGATACCTCTCTGCGCTTCGAAGGGAAAAAGAGTCGTTCGAGAGACTGATTCGGGAAAAGTCGATGATGGCGCTGCCACTTTCCGCCGATGGCAGGCCGATCGCTGAGGATGCCGACCAGCGATTCTTGCGCACCATCAGCAGCCGCGTAGCAGGAGGACAGCGGTCGGCGACCGCGGAACCTCCGCGAATCATTGTCGACATGCGTGAATTTCGCTCCAGTCTGCCATCCATGCTGCATGCTGCCGACATCCAGGTCATTCCATGCACGCTACAGGTAGGCGACTACGTCTTGACACCGACAATGTGCGTGGAGCGCAAAAGCCTTACGGACTTGGTGCAGAGTTTCAATTCGGGGCGACTGTATACCCAGTGCGAGCTCATGTGCGTTCACTATCAGCACCCAATCTTGCTTATCGAGTTTGACCAAGAAAAGTCATTCTCGCTCAAGTCGACCAACGACAGCAAGACCGCTGGACGAGCGACCGGCACGGAACTCGACGTGCAAGCCAAGCTGGTCTTGCTCACCGCAGCATTTCCGAGACTGCGCGTCATCTGGTCCAGCTCTCCCTTTGCCACTGCCGACATCTTTGCCGACTTGAAGTCGAATTTCGATGAACCGGATGCTGCTAAAGTGGCACTGGTAGGTCTGGACGACGTTCTGGAAGCGGAGGGGACCACGACGAGCGAGATCGTCAAGCGCGCTGACTGGCAGTCGTCGAGCGAGCATTCCTTCAATCTCGGTCCTCAAGACCTACTGCGGGCTCTGCCCGGCGTCAACACCAAGAACTTCCGCTACATCATGAGCCAAGTGCGGGACATTTCGGATCTCTGCAACATGTCACACGAGGACCTTAGTGAGCTGATCGGCGTCGAGCCGGCGCGTCAGCTCGCACGATTCATCGAACGGGGGCTGTGATCCGTGAAGCATTCATCAACGTGCAATCAGAGCCTCTCCTCTCATCGGTGTTCAGAACCTTTGGCGGTGTCGAGCTGGCACCGGTGGTCGAGGGATCGGCAAATTCAAGGACGGCGGTGGGAGCAATCTGATCTGGCGAAGACGCAGCATTGATGGTCGTCTTCAAGGCACTGACGCCACCCAGGGCTTGCGAACTCATCATGTTGGGGTGACAAGGCATTGTTGAGACGCGTTGAAATGACACAGACGGAAGCGATCGAGGGCTTTCCTGTATACTTCGAGCATTGATTTGTATTTATGAGGATGAGGTTTTTACAAGACTCCGGCACCATCGTAAAGAGGCATGAGTGCCGGGGTCAAGGACTCAGGGCGTAGTTGAGCAGAGGATGGATGTCATCTTCGCGTCGACGCTTAGGTGCTGCGAGCGATCTCCTCGGCCTTCTTCTTGACGTCGTCGATACCACCGCACATGTAGAAGGCGGACTCGGGAAGAGCATCGTGATCACCGCGGAGGATCTCCTTGCAGGCCGAGATGGTGTCCTTGAGCGAGACGAGCTTGCCCTCGATACCAGTGAAGACCTGGGCGACAGCGAAGGGCTGGCTCATGAAACGCTGGATCTTACGGGCACGCTCGACGGTGAGCTTGTCCTCTTCGGAAAGCTCGTCCATACCCAGAATGGCAATGATATCCTGGAGCGACTTGTAGTCCTGGAGGAGCTTCTGGACACTGGTGGCAATGTCGTAGTGCTCACGACCGACGACGGCGGGGTCAAGCATACGCGACTTGGAGTCGAGGGGGTCGACAGCGGGGTAGATACCAAGCTCGGCAATACCACGGGACAGCACAGTGGTGGCGTCCAAGTGGGCGAAGGTGGTGGCGGGGGCAGGGTCCGTCAAGTCATCGGCGGGCACATAGACGGCCTGTACCGAGGTAATGGAACCCTTCTTGGTGGTGGTAATTCGCTCCTGCATGACACCCATGTCGGTGGCGAGGGTGGGCTGGTAACCGACGGCGGAGGGAATACGACCGAGAAGAGCCGAGGTCTCGGAACCGGCCTGGGTGAAACGGAAAATGTTGTCGATGAAGAGAAGCACATCCTGGCCCTCCTCGTCACGGAAGTACTCGGCGATGGTGAGACCGGTAAGAGCGACACGGGCACGGGCTCCAGGGGGCTCGTTCATCTGACCGAAGACGAGAGCGACCTTGGAGTCACCCTCGAGGTTGATGACACCGGTCTCGATCATCTCGTGGTAAAGATCGTTGCCCTCACGGGTACGCTCACCGACACCGGTGAAGACGGAGTAACCACCGTGGGCCTTGGCGACGTTGTTGATGAGCTCCTGAATGAGCACGGTCTTGCCGACACCGGCACCACCGAAAAGACCAATCTTACCACCACGGGCGTAAGGGGCGAGGAGGTCGACGACCTTGATACCGGTCTCGAGCACCTCGGCCTTGGTGGACTGATCCACGAACGCGGGGGGCTCGACGTGAATGGGGGCGAGCTTGTTGCCCTTGATAGGTCCACGCTCGTCCATGGGCTCACCAATGACGTTCATGATACGGCCGAGGGTCTGGGGACCGACGGGGATCTGAATGGGGAGACCAGTGTCGACGACCTTCTGGCCACGGACGAGGCCCTCAGTACCCTCCATGGCAATAGCTCGGATAGTGTTTTCACCAAGGTGCTGGGCGACCTCGAGAACGAGACGACCACCACCCTGAACATCCTGAACCTCGAGAGCGTTGAGAATGGCAGGGAGCTGCTCGGTGTCGAACTGGACGTCGACGACGGGACCAATGACGGTCTTGACGGCACCGGTCTGGCCCTTGGGGGAAGCCTCGGTGGCGAGGCCACGAGCTGTTCAGAATAAGTCAAGTAGATTGCTATGGTCAGCATGCCTGAAGAATTTTTCTAGGGCTGTTGCGTGCGCGCGATCATCGACATCGTTCGGAGAAGCGCGATGGAGCCGAGCGTCGATGCAGACGACGTGTCCTCCATCCTTTAGGCGATGCAAACGATGCAAGGCAATGCCGGAGGTCATATGATGCATGCAAGCGATGGCCGACGGTCGTGATAGCATGCTGAAATCTCATGATCCCACTGATTGTCCTTCGTGATGCCACGGCAGACTCCCTACTGGTTCGGGCCCAACTGCGGAAGGTTTCGTCTGATGATGATGATGCCGATGCGATGTCGATAATCTTGGCGACAAGAGTCAATGGACAGATGAAGACTTACCCTGAACGGCGGGCTTGACGGCAGCGACGGCGACCTTGGGAGCAGCAGCACGGACGCTGGACGAAGCGGTCACAGCGGCACGAGCAACGGTGGAGAGAGCGGCGACATTCTGTCGGGCTCGGAGGGCGGAGCGGCTAGCAGCGCGCACGGCGGTGCGCTGGATGACGGGCATGATGTCGATGATGGGAATGAGTAGGATGAGGAGGATGACGACGGAAGAGTAGGAAGGAAAGGGAAAGGGAGAAATACGAGGCAGCCAGCACGCACAAACACAAGCCCGAAGAATTCCCTTCGATCGCAACTCACTCACTCACACACACGCTCAGTCTTCCCTTCGCGGCCTCGAGCCACAAGAAGAAAGGAATTGGCCAAACCGTCCGTTCACGCCGGGTCAAAGGACACAGACTGGCGCTGCGCTTTGCTGGATTGCTGGCTGGATGTCTGGCTGGGCCACTGCAAAATTGATCGCACCTCAACAAGCAGCTCACCGATCAGTTTCAACGAATGAGAACGAGACAAGTAACGGTCGAAGCGCGCAAAGTCAGGATTTGTATTTGATCATTTCATTCGAGAGCCAGACCATTTATCTGGCTTGTAGTCGCATTTCCAAGAAGATCAAACAAAATTGAGAATCCCTATATGGAATTGACCACCGAAACAGACTTGAATTGAAGTGGGTGAGTTTACGCACGTTCCCCTGCCAACTCGCGGGGCAGGAAGAAGGATCTGGCCTGTGTTTCTCTTGTCCTGCTTCTGCTCGACGCGAGCGGATCCGGGACCTTGATGCCAACGGTCCAGCCATAGCTCTTCCCGGGTCATGAAGACATGTCTTAACACTGTAGTCGACACTCAGCCTCATCACTTGCTGCGGTGGCTAATACGTGCTGCTCATTCGGCGATAGCTCTCAAAGTAATTCAAGTTGAGCTGATGCAGGTCTTATCACCAGCTTGAAGGCAGATTGAGGTCTGGTGCAGAGGCAGAGCTCTTCTCCGTTCTCTCCCGGTCAGCTCGGAGAAAGGTCTTCGACACGTGCGAGAATATGGTCTTATGATGAAAAAGAAACTCTAACATCCTGTCATCAAGCGCCGAATCCGTACCCTTGATCTACGCAGCACAATTACGACATTAGAAAGGGTGGTGGAGGGTCGCGGCCTGATTCGTGATTTGAGAAGAAACTAAATCGCAGATCGCAGCCAGAGGTGGGAGATGCGAAATGCCTCCCGTTTTGGCAAAATGGGCTGGCAGTTGCGTCAGTCGCATCGAGACGAGAAATCGGAAGCATGGTCCATCTCTTTGGAGCGTGACCAGACCTTTCCACTTTGTCCATCCACTATCATCGACATACCTCTTCGCATCCTCTGCTGCGACACCATTAACATCATCATGATTGCCAGGTCCCTCTCTCGATCTGCTAGGCCATTGGCTCGCTCAGCAGCCGGTCCTTCGCTTGCTCGTCTCGCTGTGCGAAGATACGCAACCAACCCCCCCGGTCCAGTTGCATCCAAGTCGGATGCTCCCTGGGCTATCGCCTCGGTCATCACCTTCGGAGGTCTCTTTGTCTACCTCACCGCTCCGGGCGCAAAGAAAGACGACCACGGTCACCACGGCTCCAAACACGACGAAGCTCACGATGAGGAGGAGGACGACTCGGAGCCCGAAGCTCCTAAGGAGCCCGTCGAGCTGCCCGACGGTAGCATCGAGCACCCAGAAGGCTTCGTAGAGGTCAAGCGCCCCGAAGTGCGCCACGACGCTCCCGAGGGCGACAAGCACCTCCACTCCCAGAAGATCTCGGACGAGGACGCTCATGAGAAGCAGAAGAACGTCAAGCGCGAGACGGCATTGCCTAAGGACGACACCACTTTCAAGCACGGTGTCGCAGCTGCCAAGGACGGCAACCCCATCTCGGATCCTAAAAAGGTGGTTGCTGCTGCCAAGACCGCCAAGCAGGAGAAGGCTCAGGCCAAGGCAGGCGCCGCGCAGGGCTCTTCAAACGATGATAACGGCGACGATGACGAGGAGTAGATATGTACCTCAGTCAGGCTGTAAGATTGCTACGACCCCACTAGCTTTCGACAAAGCGGCAGAACCACGACGATGCATCAAGCATCACTGCCCGAGAGATCCTCAGTCGATTCGACATCAGCTTCGCTCGACGATCCTCCCGAGCTAGGTCGTTTCGCTACGCTAAGCAGGCTCCTTCAGCACAATCATCAGAAACACATCATCCAGCAGCAGCATTCAATGAAAGTACAGTCCATCGAACAGCATTTGATACAACAGCGTGACTACCAGCTTTTGTGAACTTGGCAATCGTTCGCATGAGAATTCGGACTGGCGGGACGTTTGGCGATATAGCTGCGTAGATTGTCTCGGTCCAGAAGATCCGCAAGATGTGGGACGGACGATTCGTGGTGGTAGCGCCAGAGAAGATGCGACGCAGCAATCTTGATCTCGGGCTCGGAGGCATCAAAGAGCAACCACCAGGGCGCAGGCTCGAGAGGCAAGACCACGCAGGGCTCGCCCATCTCTGCTGCTAGTGCGATGGCCGCACATGCAACAACGTGAGGACCAAAGATGCACAGTACGGGGGTTTGAAGGCTACATCGATCAAGGTCAGCATATCAAGGCCCAGTGGGAACGAAAGGAGTCATAGTCAGCGCCATCAAGACTTTCTCTGAGCAAGTGCGGCGTGCGCTGCGATAGAACTACTCACGCATCATTGAGGAAGGACCACGCACATTGGGCCAGCGATACAGTCTCTTCCGAGCGGCCTTCACTCGGTGGAGTGGACCATTCTGCGTCCCAATTTTCGTGAGGCTTCAAAGTCACCTTGAGGTTGGGGTCCGTGAGGCCGAGCACTCGCAGGTACTGTACCAAAAGTGCATGCGGGAGCACTACCTGCATCTGGAAGCCGAGCCGCTTGAGCATCTGCATCTCCAAGACGACGATTGTGTCCCGAAGGCTCGTTACTTCGAGAGAGTCGTGGGCAAGACCAACGTACGCGGAAGGCCGAGCGCCTCTGGTGAGAAGGAAGGCGACGTAGTGGTATGCATTGATCAGGCGTCTGAGACCAACTTGGGTCTCTTCGAGCTTTGACGCTAGCAAGAGAGCGCTCACGGCGACTTTGTCGGCGGAAAAGTCGCACATTGACGAGGTATACCAGAAACGTTGAAAGAAGATTTGAGCTGCGGCCATGGTTCGTTGAGGTAGCTGTAGGAGCACCCCCATCTGCTGGATCATCTGGCAGCCGAGCGCCCTGAGCTCCATCTCGAGATCAAATGTGAGCCCTTCTGCCATAGTAGGCGTCATCGCCAGCTGCTGGCGTGTGGCCAACGGGTTAAGGATCATCTTTGTGCTGTCGGTTCTCTCTGAAGGTATTGATGAGATCCCGCTGCGGTCGCTTTCGAGGCCAAAGGAGCGCTTGCGATCGCCGAGAGCCGTGAAGGAGCTCGACGATCAATGCGATCGAGGTTTTCGGGCCATCTTATACCTTACTCCTCGCCATGGCTATCTTGTCTCCGTTAGTGCAACAGAGGTGGTGGTTTCAAGAACAGCGACAGATTGATGGTGGAGGAGACCGACACTTTCAGCGTGTCAGATCCTTGCTGCTAGACACGCAAACCTCGAGCGCCGCCGCCGCCGCCTCCGCCTCCCAAGCCTTTGAGAAGGCGCGTTTGGAGCGCTCGTGAAAGCATAGCCAACACAACAGGCGCAAGCAGGCCAAGCGAGAGAGAGAAATGAGTTTGATTCTTCACAAATTTAAGAATTTCTGGTTCAAAATCGAGTCCAACAGAGAGACAGGAAACACACACACAAAGAGCCTGGCTGCAATGAGGGTGTTTGTTTGCAGTTGACAGCGATAAAAGGGTCCCTCGCTCAACAGGCTCGGCATATCGTGTGTCACTTGTTGGTTGTGAAAAGGGTCGGCGGGATCCACTCGCCTTGCCAGGGTTCGGTGTTATCTGTCACGACCACCTCCTAACGACGACCATCAAGTGAAGCTTAGCATCTCCTTGTCACGACGCATTCCGACTGTATCGCAGCACTCTGTCTTCCGCTGTATCCTGCTGGCCAATTCTGGATCCACGCGTGGCATCGTGACACTCAAGACCGCCACTCAACCCACGACGACGACGACTGACTAAGACGATACGATCAGCGAAAAGGCATGCTCAAGATCTCGCTACCCTATCTGACTCTCTGATAGCCCAAAGCACAGCCTTCAGCGGGCTTAGCATCAATCGAATCCGTGCCGCATTCGACGGTCGACTTTCTCGAGCCTGCCCTTGCCGATCATGTCTCCGCAACGCTGAAGACGCACCCAGACTTTGACGACTGTCCGATAGCTCTCATTCGGGAAAGCGCCACAGGGCACGCGCAAGTTTCTTGGGCGGCTGCTCTGACTGCTTCATCTTCATCTGCACCAGATTGTTCACCAGCGAAGGCACATACACCCACATAGCGTCTTTCGAGCTCGTGTCTGCAGCAACGAGTATACCAGTACCCGCATCCGCCAGGCACTATGTCGTTCATTTCAAACATATTCTACCGAGCCGCTGTCAGCGAGGAGTCCAGACGAGCGCCTATCGGCAAGGTCAATCGCGCTCGTCGTACAGGACAACGAGGCAGCGCCAGCAATTCCGACGGCGGCAAGGAGGCTGGCCACGCTGACGAAAATGTCGACATCTTCAATAGCAACGCAGGCCCTTCTGAAGCCGATACCTTCCAGGCAAAGGTTCAGATCATTGAAGACATCATCGCAGAAGACAACCTGTACAAGGTCTTGGCCATCAAAAGGAATGCTAAGAACGACGAGATCCGCCGTGCCTTCTTGACGAGGAGCCGATCTTGTCATCCTGACAAATTTCCCGACTATCCCAACTCGACCATCGCATTCCAGAAGCTCGCCTTCGCCTACGAGACTCTGTCCAAACCTGCATCACGGCAAGCATACGACTTCTCTCCTCACACGCATTCCATGTTCAACGGCAAATCGCCTCACGATGCTTTCGATGACGAATTCGGGGAAGCGTTCGCCGACGCCACCCTTCAAGATGTCCTCTTCACCGTCTATGTCGAATTCTTCGAAGGCGATTTCACCTCGGTTAAGGCTCTGCTCAAGGTCCTCGCCGACAGCGGTCTGGGCACGTACAGCGATGCCAACATCAACAGTATCGAGGCCAAATTCAGAGCGCTCTCACGCCTCATGCGAGCTACACGCAGATATTCGCGCGTCCTTCTCAACGAGATGTCTCGTCTCTACGAGATTCAGCAGGACCTGCGTGGTCTCTCCTACTTTGACATCCCAGGCCGTCTTCGGTTGACGTTGCAGCTTGCCCGAGTCACCCTTAGCATTCCCTTGGCGATCGATCAGGCCATGCAGAACCCTGAGGATTACGACCGCAAGGAGTTTGGCCAATGGTTCGAAGACTTGCGCGCGCAATCATCGGACTATAGCTCGAGCGAGGACGACGACAAGCAAGCGAACCACAGCTTCGGCCTGCAAGGCGAGTGCGAGTCTGGCGCGCTCGGATCGGACGAGCATGCACGTCTGCGGTACGTGCGCGCTCGCGACGCCCGCATTGCGCGGCGAGCTGCCGAACGTCGCGATCCAGGCTCCGACAATGGTCCCGCCACAGATCAGGAGGCGGCCGCCTTGCCACCAGAGGAGATCAAGGAGCTGCAAACGGGCTTCCTTGGCCCCACCACGACGGCTCTGTTTACGGGCATGGTCAATCTTCTCGAAGCAGGCGAAGGATGGATGGGTGGAAAGCCAGCAGCGACAGTGTAGGATCGAGCTTCAAGCTAGACGCCGACTTTCTGCAACCGCCACCCGAGAGCCTCCTCTTCTGACCTGAGAGGATCAGCTCGTATGCTCCGCCTTAGAACAATTTTGCTAGCTCACCGCATTCCTGTTTCCTTTGTACCACATGGACATTACGCAAGTTTCTGCATCTGTCTCGCATCTTCGCATTTGTATACCCACAGACAGTCCCATCTCATGCAAATTATATTTCTTCACGCTTCATTTCTTGAGCTTCAACAGCTGCGTCTGAGGTTGTTGCTCAATGACTGATGATGCGTGCTGCCGCTTGACATGGTGCAAAGCGAAGAAGTTGCGAAGTCATTGATGGAGGAGCCTTTCTCTTCATATTTCTAAGCCCCAATTATCGTCATCACTTTTGCCGAGCGAGCTGGAAAGGGCGTTCCGACTTCCGACTTCGAAGTATCCGTGCGTCGATTTTGACAAGATTGTCTTGGTCTTGCATTCGCTCAGGTCGACCACCATCACGATCCCAGGATGAGCGCAACATGACAGCATCTGCTGGGACACGCCCATCGGCGGGACAAGCGTCGGACGACCAATGGCTCTTCTCCAAGTCGGATCTGGCGCTGACTCCCTCTGTCCTCCAAGGAGCGCTGGATCCAATCGACGAAAAGACACGACGCTACAAAGGAGTGCGGCTAATCTATCGTATGGGCGAATACATGCGACTGCCGCAACATGTCATGAACACCGCGGCCATCTATCTGCATCGCTTCTACATGCGCAAGCCGCTCGAATACGGGACGAGCAAAGTCGGACATCCACACTACGACATCGCAGCAACCTGCGTCTTCTTGGCATGTAAGGTGGAAGAGTCGCACCGAAAGCTTCCCAGCGTCATCGACGCAGCCATGGCATCCCTTGACGGAAGTCCGACCGGGAGCCAGCAATGGCTGCAACGCACATATCGAGCAGATCCTGGTCACCAGGTAAGCCATCCCTTCTCTTGACACTTGGTGTTGACAAAGCTCGACTGACGAATTTGACTTTCTTACACGACCAGGACTTTGCTCGCTGGCGAGACGTGATTCTACTGTCGGAGGAGACAGTGCTCGAGACGCTCTGCTTTGATCTCATTGTGGAACACCCGCACGAGATATTGGTCAAGGCATGCAGTCGACTGAGTGTCGACACCGCCCTCGTCCGGTTGGCATGGACCATTCTCAACGATAGGTGAGCATGAGCAGAGCGCAAAACGCTCAACAAGCTGCAAGCAGCCATAATATACTAACCCTGCGCTTTCAATCTTTTGTTGACTGGCAGCATGAGAGATGCAACGTGCGTCATGTTTGAGGCGCCGGTGCTCGCGGCCGGAGCATTCTATCGAGCTTGTCAGCTGATGCAGCTCTCAGCCTCCGATTTCACGGCAAAATGGCCGCCCAAGGCTGCGGAAGGGCGTCAATTGACATGGACGGACGTGTTTGACGTAGACGAGGCGGAAGCTGCGGAGGTTGCATCAGCGATCGAGAAGGATGTATACGAATTCCACGATCAGCATGCGAAATGAAGACAGCAAGCCAATACTGTATCGAGCGCAAGACACACGCAGAGGCAACAGCGAAAGCCCCAGCAATGTGCTCAACTGCGGTTGGTGGTGGCATAAACAGACGTGGGGCACCGTTACGTTCTCGGTCTTGTGCTCTTTCCGATCTTGCTACGGACAGTCCAGCTGGCATAGCCAGATCAAGCAGGATGAGCAGAGGAAGCTGCCGAGGAGCAATGCTTCTATGCAGAGAACGAGACCATTGCACTGAAGTCACTCTTTTGAAGTGGCTCTCTGCACACAGACGAGCGTCAAGCGCACCGAGCAGCCACTACAGGGTATTGTCTGAGCCGTCGCGGGTCGCGGACGCAGAGCGTCGATCCTTGACCGGCGATGAGCGAAAACGTGGCAAGGATCTAGCTCGGCAACTTGTTTTTAGATTACCCCTCCGGACCCTCTGGGTTGGCTGCGTCAAGGGCAACAATCTCTGCTTCGTGCCGCTACAGAGTGCGGAACATGAGTCTGAGACCTGCACGTCGTGCTCCGAGCAGCGAGAGCGACTCGAGCTTTCACCGAAGACACCTGGACTCGGGGGCGGGATCTGCAGGCAAGCTCGCGACCGCGGAGGCCCGTCGTCGATCAGAGCTCAGGCGGTCATTGTTGGCTCATGCAAATCGGAGAGAATCAGAGGGTCGGGGGATGAAAGGACCGTCGACAACCGATGCTCTCTTCACTTTGGATTTGGCGAACCCCGATTCGAACTTTGGAGCGAGGCGAGCTGATCTTGCAACACCGCCTCGCTCAAACCGAATTTTGTATCTCGCTTTTTTGATCGATCTCGGTACCATACGCCTGCAAACAAGCCAAAGCGCGGTAATGATACTGTAAAATTCATTAAGTTTAAAAAAACTCAGCAAAATTCGACCAGAAAATGTGAAGATGACGCGCAGTCCGGCCAGGCGGTTTTTTTTGGTGTTTCTCGCGTCGAACACTCGGACCGCCCAAACCTCTTTGTTTGGTGCTGCTGCTCCTCCTCCTGGACTTTTTCTCTAAAAGTGTTGTCACGCTCGAAGAAAACGTGTGCAGGATCAGGAGCCTGCTGCTGAATGCTAATCCTGTACCTGTCAAGAAGCGGAACCCTCGATCGTCACTCGTCCACACTGATCCTTGACCCTGAATCCGCCGACGTTGCTCCACACTTGCTTCCAACACCACCATCACCATCAATTCGTCCCCCAAGGTTCGCGATCGACAAAGATGTCCAAGGATCATATGTCACTCCCCATGCAGAGCCTCTCGATCGACGAGAAGGCCGGCCACGACCCCATCACAGGCCACCGCACGCCATCCGTAGGCACTCCCGGTCACAGCGGCATGGGCGCGCAACCCACCAACGGCATCCTCCCAGGCGGCGGCTCCAAGAACGAAAAGAAGAAGCTCCACCCTGCTGTCATCATTGTCCTCTGGATCGCTCTCTCGAGTAGCGTAATCGTATACAACAAGTAAGTAGCACGCGCTCTGTGAGGACGGTCACTGCGACTTGCCAAAGACGCCACGGTTGCCCAGTATACAACGTCGTTGCTGACACTCGTTGCCTTCTTCTACGTCTTCCAAATGCACTTGCGTCTCGCGCGCTCTCAGGTTCGTTCTCGATCCCAAGCAGCTCAACTTCCCCTTCCCCGTCTTCCTCACAACCTTCCACATGGCCTTTGCTACCGTCGGCACGCGCCTCTTGGCAAAGTACACTCACCTTCTTGACGGCCTCGCAAACGTCGAGATGACCAACGAGCGATGGATCAAGAACATTCTTCCCATCGGCGCTCTCTTCTCGTGCTCGCTCATCTTCAGCAACATGGCCTACCTTACGCTCGGTGTCAGCTTCATCCAGATGCTCAAGGCCTTCACCCCCGTCGCAGTCCTTCTCATCTCGTTCGCATTCGGCCTCAAGCAGCTTTCCAGCACCCTTACTATGATCGTCGGTTGCATCTCCTTCGGTGTGGCCCTCGCCTCGTACGGTCAGGGCGACTTTGCCATGTCGGGTTTCATCTGCCAGGTGCTTGCCATTGGTTTCGAGTCGTCGCGTCTCGTCATGATTCAGGTGCTCCTCCAGGGACTCAAGATGGACCCCCTGGTCTCGCTCTACTACTTTGCGCCCGTCTGCGCTGCCATCAATGCGCTGGTGCTCCCCTTCACCGAGGGTCTCGTTCCCTTCTTCCAGATCTCCAACCTCGGTCCTTTCGTTCTTTTCACCAACGCAGGTGTCGCCTTCTGCCTCAACATCGCTGCTGTCTTCCTCATTGGCGCTGCCAGCTCCTTGACCTTGACACTGGCCGGTGTCATCAAGGACATCCTTCTCATTCTCGGCTCCATGCTGTTGCTGGGCGACACAGTCTCTGGCCTCCAATTCTTCGGTTACGGCATCGCTCTCGCCGGTCTCGTTGCCTTCAAGACACACAAGGGCTAAATGTCAATCTTCAGTAGCACACAAGACAGCTGCGCCTTCCAGCTCGAGCAACCTCCGCCCACAATGGACACCCTGCATTTCCTCACTAGATGCCCACGCATCCTCTCACGCTCTTTTATCGCTGCAGAATCGCCGTCTCGACGGCCTCGCCCCACCGCTGCTATCCTGCATTTGGTTGCACTTTGCCTCCTAAGGTTGTGGCCCCTCATGGCACACGCATGCTCGTCGCAGAGCTTACCCAGATCCATTGTACACGTGTCCTTGATAGACTCTCGCTCTGCTGTGCTCTGCCCAATCCAATGTCTTCACGATTAGCTTTGCGGAACGCCTTCTAGGCAGCACTGTGTATGTTTTGCAGCCAAGTAAGCACATTCTTTGCCCTCTCAGCTTGTTCCTTGCCTTGCAGTGACGTACACAGGCAAGTCCAGGCTGCTCATGTTTGAGAACGGATCACTTTACGCGACTGAAAACTGCAAGTTTCAACGCGAACCCTGAAATCTGAGCACTTTCTCGCCGCTTCCAAAACCAACACTTTTGGAGAAGAGCAACACTCGCGCACTCTCCGCCTTTTGACCAACTTTCATATACGGACACCGCCCTTCGATTCCTCGAGCTTGGAATACAACTACAACCAGCATGCCGTCATGACAGATCGCAATGATGGTCTCAAACTGCCTACGCCTGGAAACACCGCTGATGCGAAGCTGGCCTCACGCGAGTTCCACTTTCCATACCCACAAGCCTACTCGATTCAGCTCGACTTGATGCGCCAAGTGTTCTCCACTATTGAGGACGGCAACGTAGGACTCTTCGAAAGCCCAACGGGCACCGGCAAGTCGCTCTCGCTCATCTGTGCGGCCTTCACGTGGCTCGAACAGAACGCACAACGGCACACAAGGGGAAGCAGCATCAACAACGGTGGCAGCAGCAGCAGCAGCAGCGGCAGCACGAGCAAGAATGCTGCCGCCCATCAAGAGCCTGACTGGGTCGTTCAGCATGAACGGGATCGTAGGAGGAAAAAGCACGAAGCATATGAGCTTGACCTCAAAGACCGCATAGCGCAGGCACGAGCAAAGCAAGCCGCACTCAAGAGAAGCTACCGAGACGGCCTCTTAGACGCCGAGGCGAGGGCTGCCAAGCGACAACGCAGCTCAGACGACCCCAACGCCGACCATGATTCGGACGACGATCTTCTGATCGACGAGCACGAGGGTGCTAAAGGCACACGGGCACTGCGAATGGCGACGTACTCCAAGTCGGCTCTGTCAGAAAAAGCTACCGAGCTCGACTCGAATCTGTCGCCTGCGGTTCGCGCACTCATGCAGCAGTACGAACAAGCGCACAGCCACGGCCAGGAGGAGGAAGAGGAGCCCGAGACGCTGCCACGCGTCATCTACGTCAGTCGTACGCATTCGCAGCTCTCGCAATTCGTCGCAGAGCTGAAGAAGACCTCTTTCGGCCAGATCGACGTCATCGACGCGGAGGCCTGGCCGATTCGTACGATCAGCTTGGGGAGCCGAAAGCAAATGTGCATCAACGAAGAAGTGCAGCGGATCGGACGAACTCGAGGATCAGAGGCTATGAACGAACGATGCCTCGAACTCATGAAGGGCAAAAAGGGCAGGACTAAATGCCCGTCTTTACCGACCTTCAATCAGGCCGGACGAGCTCAAATTCTCGAGTTCCGCGATGCAGCCATGTCCGAGGTGGGGGACATCGAGGACTTGGTCGAGCTTGGGAAGCAGACCAAGACCTGTCCCTACTTTGCAGCCCGCAGCAGCGCGAAGCAAGCACAGCTCGTCACGCTGCCCTACAATCTCCTGCTGCAGAAGGACGCTCGCAGCGCACTTGGCATCAGCCTCGAGGGATGCATTGTCTTGATTGACGAAGCGCACAACCTCATTGACACCATCCTCTCCACCCACTCGGTGACAGTCGACTCGCGGCAGGTCGCACAAGCATCCAAGCAGATCGACACCTATCTCGACAAGTTCGCTCTACGTCTCAAGGGATCGAACGAATCGAACCTGCGCAAAGTTCGCAAACTGCTTTCGAGCATGTCGACCTTCTTCACGGAGCAAGCCGCCAAAGGAAAGTCAAACGCAGAGACGGTCATGACAGCCGCGGAAATGGTGCGGAGGATGACCGGCAGTATGGACCAGATCAATCTCGTTACGCTGGAGACCTGGCTCAAGGAGAACCAGATTGCGCGCAAGATCAGCGGATACGCGGACAAGCACAACAAGAAGGCAGCAGAGCAGTTGCAAGCGAATGCACAACCGCGGCCCGGAGCCAGGAGCAAACATTCGTCAAAGGGGACAGCTCAGAATGGTAGCACAGACGTCGCACCAACCACAAATCAAACTGCGATTTCGAGCATGCACGCCATCGAGTCGTTCATACTGTCGCTCGCCAATCGCTCAGAAGACGGTCGTGTGGTGCTCAGCTGCACAAGCGACAGCTCGACGGACGAGAGCATCGTGCGGGCCAAGTACCAGCTGCTTAATCCTTCGCACATCTTCAAGTCCTTGGTCGACGAAGCGCGCTCGGTAATTCTAGCTGGAGGGACGATGGAGCCCATCTCGGACTTTCGCCAACAGTTGCTCCCCTTCGTGGCACCGGATCGTCTCGTGACCTTCTCATGCGGCCACGTCATACCTCCAAGCAATTTGATGGTCTCTGTGCTATCTGCAAGTCCCAAAGGCCAGCCCTTCGAGTTCAAGTTTGACTCGCGCGACAACACGGAGCTTGTGGACGAACTCGGCCGCACGATCATCAATCTTTGCAACATCATACCCGCTGGGCTGGTCGTCTTCGTTCCCTCGTATGCATTCCTCGACAGAATCATGGCAAGGTGGAAGGATGCAGGATCAGGAGGGTTGCTGCAAAGGCTCGGCAGCAAGAAAAAGATATTTACCGAGCCCAAGACGACCATGGCGGTGGACCAGGTGCTTGGTGAATACACGGCTGCGATACAGGGCAGCGGAGGCGCCATCATGTTTGCAGTCGTCGGTGCAAAGCTTTCGGAAGGCATCAACTTCTCGGACGATCTCGCAAGAGGCGTCGTGATGGTCGGCATGCCATTCGCTAACATGCACAGCCCCGAGCTCGCCGAGCGGATGAAGTACGTGCGCGAGCTGGCCGCCAAGCACGACATTTCTGGACGGGGCTCGGCTCCAGGAAAGGCGATCGATGCTGGTCACGAGCTGTACACCAATCTCTGCATGAAGGCCGTCAACCAGTCTATTGGTCGAGCAGTTCGCCATCAAAATGATTATGCAGCGCTCATCCTCCTAGATCGTAGATATGCTCGACACGAGATCAAACAACGTCTCCCGGGTTGGATCCGCGATCAAGTCAAGGTGGCCGACCGATTCGGAGGCTTGGTTCAGCAGACCGCCTCGTTCTTCAAGAACCGCAAGACTTGAACTCTTCACATAATTCCTTGGCAATGAAAACTCATGGAGACATTCTTTACGCCTGATGGCGAGCGCAAGAGGCCTTCTCCGTCTTGATCTTGCGGCTTACGACTAAGGGCATCTTAACGTCGACATCGCAGGCGACAGCGAGCCAGCCGCTGTCAGACCGCCATCCGGAGACATCTTTCAAAAATTGAATTTGCCAAGTTGCCGCGAAATTTGCCAGCCAGGCAGCCGACGCTCGGGTTTGACGTGCCCGCTTCGCAAAGCCGAAGCTGCGTCATTTTCTCGTGTGTTTTTCGGAGGGATGGACCCCTTGTCACCGCGTCCTGGAATGGTTGACCGTCAAAACCGATGCTTTTTCCCCTGGTGAAGCGCATCGTGCTGACCGTGCCCATGGGGACCCCGCACTTGTCGACTTTGCTGGTCTTTGCAATCCAGCGCACCTCCTTATTCGCAACCCTCATCACCCGAAGCGATCACATCGATTCTCGAGACGAATCACCAAGATGCTCGCAAGAACAGCGCTGCGTCGCGGCCTGCGATTGGCCGCTACTTCCACAGCCAGCAAAGCAGGCTCGTCGTCGACCCAGCTCTTCAAGCGGACCTATGTGCAGCAGTCCTCCTCCATCCCCATCGTGATGGGAAGCTCATCAACATCACTTCGAAGCTTCGCAACGACACCACGACGACAGGCGACCGAGATCAAGCCGTACCTCCTTGCCGACGTCGGCGAGGGCATCACTGAGTGCGAGATCATTAAGTGGTTTGTGCAGCCGGGCGCGGTGGTGCAGGAGTTCGACCCCATTTGCGAGGTCCAGTCGGACAAAGCGAGCGTAGAAATCACGTCGAGGTATGCGGGCAGGATCAAGCGGTTGATGCACAAGGAGGGGGATGTTGCGAAAGTCGGGCATCCGCTGTGCGAGATCGAGATGGAGTCGGATGGTACAGGTGCGGAGGCGAGCGAGGGGGTACAGGAGGAGCAGGAGGAGGTACAGATCACAGACGTGTCGAAAGACTCGGAGTTCAAGGCAGTGAATATGGAAGGCTTCGTCTCGGCTGAGCACAAGCACTCCAATGGCGGAGGCAGTCATGCTGTCGGGAACGGCAAGGACGTCTTGGCGACTCCAGCGGTCAGGAGGGTATCGAGAGAACACAACGTAGACTTGGCACAGGTACGAGGCACAGGCCGCGACGGCAGGATCACCAAGGAAGACGTGCTGAACCACATCCAAAACGGGTCCTTGTCCGCCTCACCCTCGGCTTCTGCCGCCTCCTCGAGCAGCGTCTCTTCCTCCACCTCCTCTGCGGCGCCCGGCACGACCGAAGTCATCGACCTGACGCCCGTCCAGCGAGCCATGTTCAAAGCCATGACGGCCACGCTCTCCACGCCTCACTTCGCCTACTCGGACGAGATCGATGTCACCGACTTGGACAAGGTCCGCGTCTTGCTCTCGAAATCCATCCCCGAACGCTACACCGACGCAGGCGATGCATCCTTCACCAAGCTCACGCTCCTCCCCTTGCTGGTCAAAGCAATGAGCCTTGCGCTGCACGACCATCCGATGTTCCGCTCGACGCTCAATAGCGAACAGAAGCTCGTGCGTCGCTCGTCGCACGACATCTCGATCGCGCTTACGAGCAAGGTCGGGCTCCTCACGCCCTGCATCACCGATGTCGCGTCCAAGTCGATCTACGACCTGTCGGGGTCCATTACGCGGCTGCAGACCGTCGCTGGCTCGTCGAAAGGGTTGTCGCCCGCCGATCTCAAGACGTCAGGCACCATCACGCTGAGCAACGTCGGCGCAGTGGGAGGCGGGACGTACACCCATCCTCTGTTGCCGCCAACCGGTCAGCTAGCGATTGGCGCGCTGGGCAGGAGCAGGATCTTGCCCCGCTTCGCGTCCGAGATTCCTTCGCTGGGCGTCTCGGACCCGGACAAGATCGTCCGAAGGCTCATCATGTCCGTCTCGTTCACGGGCGATCATAGGGTCGTAGAGGGTGCGGATCTTGCGAGACTCGTCAACAGATGGAAGCAGCTCGTCGAGAATCCGTCGCTCTGGCTCGGTCTCTTAGCATAGAACCGCCTCGACGCAAAACATTTGTTGTTTCTCTCTGTCGACGCATTCACTTTCGCAATCAATCGCATTCTCACAATCGTTCAGAGGCAAAGGAGAGCTGGCAAGCTCTTTGTCTTCAACGTGTGTGCTGGCACACATTCGGCCCGCACGATTCACAGAGCTGTTGCCGATCTCACTTGTCTCGTGATGCTGAAAGGAGATCTGGTTTGGCTTGCTTCGCATCGAATGGCCCGAAGTTCGTGATTTACAAATGGAGAGAGAAGCGGGAATTTACTCGACAGTCACCGACTTCGCGAGGTTGCGTGGGAAATCGACGTCCACGCCTGCCGCTGTGGCAAGGTGATACGACAAGAGCTGGAGAGGGATGACGGTCAAGAGACCCTGGAGACAGTCCACAGTGCGTGGCACGCGGATCGTCTTCATGCCCGCCTTGATGTCCTGGTCGTCGTCGTTGCAGATAATGATGGGCTGACCCTTGCGCGCTGTGACCTGCATCAGCGCGGTCTGTACCTTGGGGTAGAGCGAGTCCTTGGTCATGATGAGGATGACGGGCATCGACTCGTCGATGAGGGCGAGAGGGCCGTGCTTGAGCTCACCCGCGAGAATACCTTCCGAGTGCATGTAGCAGACCTCCTTGATCTTAAGAGCACCTTCGAGACAGGTGGCGTGCTGGTAACCACGACCCATGATGAGCAAGGAGCGCTCCTTGGCGAGCGTGTTGTGCGCAAGCAGCTGAAGCGCCTTGTCCTGGGCGAGAATGCTCTTGATCTGGTCGGGAAGGGCGTGCAAGCCATCAATGATGGCGTGCCTGCGCTCCGTCATCGAGATGCGGTCTTCACAGAGCTGGACGGCCATCATGATGAGGGCGATGTACTGGGAGGTGTATGCCTTGGTGGATGCGACACCGATCTCGGGACCAGCATTGATGTGGATACCACAGTGGGTCTCCCGCGACATGGTAGAGCCAACCGTGTTGACAACACCGAGACAGAGGGCACCACGCTCCAAGCAGTATCGGAGCGCGAGGATGGTGTCGGCCGTCTCACCCGACTGCGAGACAAAGACGCAGACGTCGTCGCGGAAAATGGGCGTCTTGCGGTCCAAGAAGTCCGAGGCGAGCTCGACGGAGACAGGAATCTCGGTCAGTTCTTCGAAAATGGCACGAGTGGCCAAGCACGAGTGGTAAGAGGTACCACAGGCGGTCATGACAATCCTGCGGCATCGGCGGATGGTGTTGAGGAATGCCTCGAGCCCACCGAGCTTGACCTGGCGTTTGTCAAAGTCAACTCGGCCTCGCATAGTGTTGACGACCGACTCGGGCTGCTCGTAGATCTCCTTCTGCATGAAGTGGTCGAAGGAGCCCTTCATGATTTCGGCGAGCTCCATCTCGAGGGTCTCGATGGATCGCATGGAGCTGAGACCGTCGTTCCTTCGCAAGCGGTGGATGTGGAGTTCGCCTTCGGAGATGTGGGCAACATCGTCGTCCTCGAGGTAGAGAACACGCTTGGTGTGCTCGACGACAGCAGAAGCATCGGAAGCGATGAAGTACTCGATTGGCTGGGGCAGACCATCTTCGGAGAGGAAAGCACGCGACTGGGAGCGGAGGAGCTTGTTGTTTGCGTTGGGCACGGTGAGCGAGCCAGGTCCCGAAGGATCGCCTCCGGGGGGAGCAAGAAGGCCAGCATCGCCGAACCCGGTCTCCTCCACGGCACCACCCAGCTCGACGTCAACAAAGTCGACCTTGAGCTTCTTCTCGGTCTTGACACCAATCAGGAGGGGCGAACCACGACGAGCGACGACGAGCTCTCCGGGGAAGTGGACCGACCTGAAGACGAACGAGAAGGCGCCCTCGAGCTCCTTAACGACGCTCTTGATGAGCGAGGTGAAGTCTGGCTTGCGGCCCTGAGCCGAGTCGTAGAGGTATTTGCAGAGGATCGCTACGGACTCGGTGTCGGTATCGCTCTCGAACTTGAAACCGCGCTTCTCGAGAACCATTCTGAGCTCCCTGAAGTTGGTGATAATACCATTGTGGACCACGGTGAACTCGTTGGTGGGGTCGGATCGGTGAGGATGGCAGTTGAGCGGGCTAGGCTGACCGTGGGTGGCCCAACGTGTGTGGGCCATACCCATCTGCGAGATCGAGACCTTGCTGAGGTCGATGGGGGATTCATCGATATGCTTGCGGAGAGCAGCGACCTTGCCGACCTGCTTGAAGACCAATGTGTCCTTCTCGCCATCGCCATCGATTGCGATACCGGCAGAGTCGTAGCCTCTGTATTCGAGACGCGCGAGACCGTTGACGAGAATGTCAATGGTCTGCTTGCGGTCCTTCTCCACCAAGTGGTTGATGTAAGCGAAAATGCCGCACTGTGCGTTTGAAGGACGAAAAGATAGCCAAAGTCAGCGGGCGTTCTTACGTGTCCTGATCATGCCATTGCGAAGCTGCCACTCACCATGATTGCCGAAGATGTATATGGGGCAGCCGATGCTCAGCAACGGTGTAGAAGAGAAAAGTGAAGTCGAGCAAGCTGCGTCTCTAGTTGATGAACGCGCTAGGGCAGCGAGCGAAGGACGGGTGAGCAACGAACGCGAAGGCGAATGTATGGACAGCGAGCGATGATGGAGGGAGGCGAAGAAACAAGAGACAAGACGATGTCGAGGAGAACTAGACAACACCGAGAGAGTTTAAGGAGAAGCGATACGCTGCTACAGTAGTCGGCCCTCGGCTGGCCAAGGCAGGAGACTGCGTGCGTGTTGGTTTGGCCAGCGCTGAATGCGCAACCTGTGATTTCCTCCAACAGCTCACACACAGCACAGCGCGACGTCGAGGTGGCCAGTGCTGCTGCTGGGCTGTGCTTTCTGCTAGGGGTCGGCGCGTGCGAAATTTGTGTTTTGGCAGATGTGACAGATGGAAAAACAGGGGCTCGCCAGCTCGACGGTCGGTCAAACTGGGCGATGCTGCGTAATTGCACAGCTGCCGACTTGCCCGCGCTCATCTGCGGGTGTTGATCTTTGATCTGCGGTCTGGACCGAGACGCGCTCGCTCAGACTCCCTCCTTCGTCCGCATGTGTTCGTTGCATCCTGCGAATTCGCCCAGCAGGGATATCGATGCTTCGGAGAAAAACAGCATCCGACACCTGTGACTGCCGTTCCCCTTCCTAATCTGTCATAAACTACAGTGACCTCTCTTTCAGAAGAAGATTAGCTCTTCGCCTCAATGGAAGAAATTTCCCCATTTGACAGCTGCACTGCGCCGATCGACCCCCTGTTCCAAGGAGTTCCGACTCCAGGCTGTGCTTGTGTAGGTGTTGCCGTTCCGAAGCACTTCATTACGACTGTAGTCGCCGGACTTGGAGGGTCGACTAAGTCTTGGCTCTAGCGATGTCGCTTCCGCATCTCTCATGAAGGTAGACGGAATCCAATCGTCTTCGGTACGCCCGACAAAGGCGTCACTCAGCTTTCCCACGGTGAGCCAAGTTGTAACAAGCGCCACCTGTCATATTCCGTCGGCAGTGTTGGTCGCGGGCCTACCGAAGCCCTTGTGGATGCTGCTCAGCCTGCCTTGTCTGGTCTGGGCTTGCTTCGGGAACGTGGTCATCTTTGAAGTTTCTATAGCTGATGTTCGCTCGCTTGATCAGTTGACTGACCTTGAAACCTAAAGTTTTATGAAGCGAAAAACGCAGCAGATCGCTTGGCAGATGAATGCGTGTTCGGTCTTCGACATCATCAGCTTGGTCATTGCAGGATGGAGAAGCGTAGCTGAACGGCGCATTTGCAACCCAGAAGCTTGACCATGGCTCGAGTGAAGCATGTGATGATGTCGTACCCCCCGCCGCCGGCGAGATCCCCGATCGGTGAACCAAGAATGACAAATCGGTCGATAGCCTTCACGAAGCAATAAGGGTCCAGCGTGAGAGTGGAGGCTTTTTCCCGAAGAAAGCGCGTTTCGCGAGCGTGTGGGAAAGTTCACACGAGGCATGGGAGCCACCAAGTGTTGGACTTTCTGGGAATGGGACGTGACGAGCCGTCTGACACGGTTAACAATCGACTGCGCCACTTTCGAAAGCATCCTTCTCACCCATCGGTTCCTCCTTTCTCAATATCGGCATCCTCCGAAAGGCCCTTGCCACTAGCATTGAGGGCGACGCACTCCCTGACGTAACAGGTGCTTCGAAGCAGCGACGGCACTCAGACCCGCAATCACGATGACCGACGCACCAGCGAGCTCGTAGCAGGCGGATCTTTTAAAACTCGAGATTTTCAGCTCCTGCCGCCTTCTCTCGGCACTTCTTCTGCTACCGTCATTCGAGCTCAATCGAGACCATGCTTGCGACACTGGACTCCGCTTCGCCCTCAATGGCCACAACAACCGCCACTGTCAACTCGCAAGAGCCCTCCGACGACGAGATCGCCGCCACACAGCAATCTATGCTCGAAGAACTGCACGCAATCAGCGAAGAGGTGCTCGCCAACAAGCCAATGGGTGGCGATGCTTCCTCGTGCGAAACCGGGACTGTCATGGAGTCTGGCCTTGCCGAAAAGGAACGCAGTGAGCCAGCGGACCAACAGATCTCGGACGGCGGGCCTGCGAGACAAGAAGAATCAGGACCGTCCGCTGCGGGAAAGGCGACCAATGACGACACATGTCCAGCACCGCAAGTCGATGAAATGGATGTCCGCGCCGAAGCAGCTCCGGCAGTGCACCTCGTCACCGATGTCGTCAGATCGGAGTCCTCATCGACCGCGGCGTCTCAGACGACAGACGTAGACGGAAAGATTCAGGGAGGAACAGAGGCTTCTGCTGCACCCTCACCAATGGAGGCCGAGGCAACAATCGTTGCGGTCGCAGATGTGGAAACATCGCTTTCGGCGCGACTCAGCTTGAAGGGCCCAGTACATCCTCCAACGGATTTCGATGCAGCGACGGCCACTGAGCTGGCGGATGCGCAGACGGTCTGTGACCAGGCCGACGCCTCGCTCGAGTTCGACCATTCCGACTTGTTCGATGGCATCGAGGCAGATGCTTTTGATAATATCGAGCTCAGTCCACCTACGCGCAGACGGGCGTCTCTGCCTTCCATAGATGGAATCATCAGCAACGGACATCAAAGTGTGCCACCATCGCCGACACGAACGCGGGCTTCGATGTCATCCCAGATGCCAGCAGATGCGGAGTTCGACTATGACATGGACCATGCCGCAAACAAAGAGTCCGAGCAAATACCGCAAGCTAGTCAGATGGCATCTTTCCTCGACCCCGGCTTCCTCGGCTTTCAAACAGGACATAAAAAGCAGGTCAAGCTAAGCGAGAAGGGGCTGCAAGCTGCGCGCAAGCTTATGCTTGACCTCGAACAGACGACGGACTTGCTGCCGCCATCGCAAGCTTCCTCGTCAGCACAGACGCGGGCACTTGCAACGGCGTCGAATGCCGTGGCATCTGGGCAAGCGAGCAATGGACGAGATGTCCTGCCAACGATCGAGCGCACTCCATTGCAGGAGATCCTCCCGAAGCAGAGCAGTGTTGCTACAAATGGAACTGAACGGCACCCATTCGATACCAAAGGCAAGCCGGTCACGACATTGGCAGTGCCAGCACTGCAAGGTGCGATGGCCGGCCAAGTCCTGCAGCCAAGCTTTGCGACGCCAAAACCAATACGAAGTACCATCCTCAGCAGCGCTGTGGGCTTGTCGAGTCCAATGCGAACTCCAGCTGCCGTATCTGGCTCGCGGTTTTCCACACCACAGCCCACTAAGCGCATCTCGCTTGGGGTGCTACCAAGGGCGGAGTCCAGCGGAAGCAGCACGGGCAAGAAGAGGACTTTGCCCAAATTCGTTACGCCGTTCAAAGCGGGCAAGCGTCCGCGCGCCGAAGATCCGCAAGATCTGGCCTCGCCATCTCGCAGCCTACCGAGAGCTGGCGATCGTGATACTACCAAGGCGTCTCCTTTGCCAGCTCGGCAATATCCCTCTACCCGAAAGGTGCTTACACATTCCTTGCAAGGTCCCGCTGTGTTTCGTATGCAGTATGACGGCCCACGTCACAGACTGGCAGACGTTGGACGACCAGAGTACTACTCAGCGATGCAGATGATCGCCAAAGGCGTGCCGGACGAGATTGTAGTCATCCTCAACGATGCATCCAAGGCGGCTCAGTATGCATTCGAGAGCTCAGACGGCACGCTGCTCACGCAACATGTGGCCCTCGAAGAACTGCTCGCGAGGGGGTGTTCCGCTGCCAAGCTTCCGTGGGTGCAGAACCACTGGACATTGATTCTGTGGAAGCTTGCAGCGCTGGTCCGCCTCGAGCCGAGCAGTGCACCTGAGCGCTGGAGCTGGGACGAGCTCATTCGTCAGCTCCTGTACCGCTACGAGCGCGAAGTCCATCTGGCGCAGCGCTCGTGCCTCAAGCGGATCCAGGAGCACGACTCTTCTGCAGCGAGGCCGATGGTGCTGCTGGTGTCGAAGATCTTCGAAGAGGAGACTGAGGTCCAGGATCGATCAGGCGCAATCGTTCCTCGCAAAAGCACGATCCTCGAGCTCTCCGATGGTTGGTACCGCATCCAGGCTCAAATCGACGCTACATTGACCTGTGCGTGCCAACGTGGTCGACTGCGCATCGGTCAGAAGCTGGCCGTCACGGGGGCGACGCTCGATGCAGTAGGCGACGGCAACGAGGTTCTCGCGGCTTATCACATGACGAGCCTTATCCTGGCCGCGAACTCGGTATCGCTGGCACGATGGGACGCTAAGCTCGGATTCTCGGCCACGCCATTCTGCGCCAGCCTGCGCAGTCTTACGCCGGGAGGAGGGCTTGTATCTCTTATGGATGTTGTGCTCACCAGGGTCCACCCTCTCGCCTACATGGATGCCGACCGCGCCAACTTCAATCCGAGCGCAGCCCGCGGCGAGCAGGAAGAAGAGGAGGCTCGCGAGGCTTGGGTCAAGAAACGCGAAGATGCTGTTCAGCAACTTCAGCTTCAGGCAGAGTCCGACAACGGACGGCTGTACGATCTTGTCGAGGCGCTGAGCGATTTACTTGGCGACAGCTTCTTGCCTTCTGTACCAGACGATCCAACCGGGCACTTGATGGCAGTGGCAAATCAGCTGTTCGATCAGCTCAGGGCGCAGCCGAATCCGGCTTCAGCGGTCAATCAGTTGGTCGTCGCGGCAGGGCACACAAGTCTTGTCCCGTGGCTGCACAATCTGGCCAAGGGCGCAATCCTGGCAGGTGAGGGGATGGGCGGGTCGAGACTGAGCGAGGACCTGGACAAGCTATGTCCGCCACGCAAGGTGCGCGAGTTCCGAGTCGTCAAGTTCAGAGACGCTCGTCTCCCGCCACCACCTCCAGCAGCAGCGCAGCAGTCGAACGGCAACGGTGCGGGACCAAAGAAGAAGAATCCATACGCTCGTGAGGTGCTGCTCACCGTCTACGACGCAGGCAAGCTAGGCGACGAGCTGCGAGAAGGCAGACGCTTCTTGGTCACCAACCTCATGCCCTCGGAAAGATCGGCTTGGCGGAAAGCGGACGAAGCAGCCGACATCTCCCTCTGCACAAGGCGCGATACCAAGTGGCGGCCTTTGTCGTGATCTTTGCACATTTCATCTCTGGCTCAATTAAGCGGTCAGCTATGTAGGGACACATTCAGCCTGACCTGCATTCTCTCGAACCATTCGCACGCAACTGTAACTCGCAACTTTCGCTCTTCTATCATTGTTATGTGTGCGCGACAAGACGACAAGGCAACCTGCGAGTATAAGAACAAGCCTAGCTTGGTGGAGAGGAACGGCGAGGTCGTTACAACGGAGCAAGCATATCGGCCTTGGGATCGATCACGGGCTCGCTCCCGTCTGCACCCTCAGGCATTTGCTCGTCCTGCTTCGCCTGACCTGCGTTGATTTGCATCTTGGACACAGTCTCCGCAGCCAGCATCAGTGCGGGCGGATGCGTGGCTAGTCTCCTGCGAGGCTTGTCCCTCGCTGCAATTACAACATACGGCAACGGCTCACCGTCTTTCGAACAAGCCTGCAGCCACTTTTTCATGAAGTCTCGAGGACCCACGGTGAACTGATAAGTGTCGGCAAAGCGAGCGAGCAAATGGCCCGACGACTCGTCCTCGCCGCGATTGTAGTAGCGCATCGACACGCAACCCGGCTTGATGGCGAAATTGAGGGCGATGCAGCAGCCGCCATAGCACACGCGGAACGGGCTGGCAAGGTACTGGCTGCGATCGATGAGGAAGCCTCCCTCTGCGGTTCCGATGAACATCAATTTAGAGAGTCAGTATGGCCTATACGAGAAATCGAGAGAGGAAGAAAGGGCAAGTATGACGTACGATTGTCGGTAGCGTTGATGGGCGAGGCCTGAACAGCGCCTGGACGGACCTGATCTACATAGATGCAGTAGTTGCTTGAATCTTGGCAAAGCTGGCTGAGCACAACGGGCGAGTATACGAGCGGTGACGCCACTGCGCTGCCTTGTGTGTCTTCGGAAGCGGTATCAGCGCGAGTACTTCGCAGTGATAGCAGGAGGATCAGTAGGCCCGAGAGAAGCATTTTCGAAACGATCCTTCGTTTTCGAGCGACCATATTGTTTGAGGCAAACTTTAGCCCTGCCCCGCCTCTTCGCTTTTCATTATGATGACGAACCGTGTGCTCGAAGCGAAGCGTCCATTTGGGTGGTCGGACTCCCGGGGAGTTGTTCGGAGGGGCTGAACCTGTGCGCTGAGCGTAATGTGGGCTTCTGCGGTGTCCCACTGTTGCTATGACCGTCTTGGCAATGGCTGCCCTGCAGGTTAAGCACTCGGCTGCCTACTGTGTGTTGTGGCTTTCGGCACCTAAGTCCGAAAGACAGGGGGTCAGGATGAGGTCCTCGACAACCACCCACTGACTTCGTCGCCGCCGCTTCCTCATCACGCCCATCGCCCACCTCATCTTTAGCTGGTAACAAAAGCCAATACACGATCCTTGGACACTCTGCGGCCCCAGGGTGGTTGCAATCACGAGGCCAGCGCTTGTACGAAGCTCAGGCTCAGTCGATGCGTGACGATTGCTGCGATTCACTCAACCGACCAGCCACTAACGTTATTGGGGCCCTGTTTGCTTGATCTCAAGCACATCAAGCTCATCTCGTACCAAGACATGTGACAAGTCCTCGGGTATGCGCGCCTTGCAGGACTGGAAACGTCGTCCGTGAGTGGAGCTAAACCCACGTCAAGGGGCTCGAGCATGTCCCACAGCATTTACAGCGTGTAACGTGGGTCCAAAGCACAGCCCGCGATCGTCCCACCCGCATCGACACCTGAGCCGATGAAGGGGTGCTTGCTGCATTGTATCTCTCAGTGATGGATCGTTTTGGTAGTGTCGGCTGCTCTTCTGGTGTCTATAAGAAGCACCCGCTCCAAATCTCATCAGTGAGTCCAGACCCATCGCTCAAATCTTTCCGACCCTCTCCCAAGCAGACACACCATCTCTCCCTCAATATGAAGTTTTTCTCCATCGTATTCGCTCTCGCCCTCATCCTCGCTGGAGCTCTGCTCGCCGAGGCGGCTGCCATCGAGCACGCTGGTCCCTGGAGCGACATCCACCCCAAGAGCGCCATGAAGCACTTCAAGATCTACGCCGAGCCCGCTGATACTGACCTACGTACGGCCAAGCCCGACTACAGCAAGTGCACGACGTACAGCGATGCCGGCAGGAAGGCCACCTTCAAGTTCTTTGCCACTTGGGACAGGCTGCAGTTCCAGAAGCTGGGTCCTCACACCCTCGGTGTCAACTGCATCAATTGCACGCCCCAAGAGCTGGGCAACATCTACCAGACCGAGATGTACCTCAACTGCAAGATTCAGGACCAAAGGCCTGCTGACTGGACGCCTCAGGGCCAGTAGGTCTCTGCTCGATGATGCTCCGCAGTCAGCACCCTCCATGACAGCGAGCGTGACCATCCCAGCTTCCTCGCACCGCAATCCTCTTCAGTCTTCCCCGCTATTCATTCTGCACATGCCCTTTACGATGAGACGCCTTTTCTTTCGTACAGCAATATTGTCTTTGGTGGTAGTTGCTTCTAGCTAGCAATGAATGCTGTGTGCACCACGTGACATGGAGAAGTCTCTCTGAACCGTCAAATAGTTGGCGTGCTTGAGCATCGTCTGTGCTGGTCTGCGGGCAAATGCACGCCGAGCTGCATGGCATGCATGAGCGCAGCAATTTCGCGTCACGGGGAGACGCGTGAAGCGAGCCTGCGGTCTGAGACAGCTGCACGTTTTGCGGTGGTGTTGATGTGTTGTTGTCGTCTTGGACCCTGGATTGGCTTTGTGCCGGTTCGAGGACTGCCAGCAGCAGCCGCGAGTCAAAGCGCTTTGAAGAGGTCGGCTGGTCCGCTTGGCCGGTTTGCTAGGCTTGTTCTGGGCTCAGCAGAGCCATCTCATTTGAGTTAGGCTCGTGCCGACTTCGGCACCGATCATCCTCAGTTGTGGGGAAGCCGACAAGCTTTTGTTCCCACGCTTCAAGTCCACAGTCTGCGCAGCTCCTCCCTTTGTCACAAGCTTTGATTCGATCATAAACCTCCCTCAACTGCTAACCACCATCAACTCTCCTTCTCTTTGACGCATCAGCGCTCCCTGTCAGAGATGGCAACCGTATCACCACCCGCCCAGCAGCGACTGCTCGTGGCCCTGCTCAACCGAGCATCCACCAATTATCGACTATCCATCCTCAACCAGCTCGTGTCAGACGCCTCATCGCCCTTTGAGCTGACTGCTGAGCGCTCGCTCCGAATCTCGCTCCCCGAAGACGACGGCCTGCTCCGATCGCTGCTCTCAAACGAAATTGAGACGCACGGAGAAGCCGAAACACTTGTCAAGTGGGCGCTCAAGTTTACAGCTTCGACCAACTTCTTCTGCGTGCTCAGCCTCAAGAGCGACAGCCAAGAGCCGCCCGCGTCAAACATGTGCGAGGTGTTCCTCAAAGATCATGCACCGAAGCTGTGGGAGTCCTATGGTCAAGACGAGATCTACTTCTCGCCCGACCAAGCTACCGCCGAGATGCAGGTCCAGCTGCTGTTCCCTGACGGCGAAAGCTACAACGCTCTCACGCCTCTTAGCACTTCGTCGGACCTTCCCAGAGCTGCTTCTCTTTTTGAAGCACCTCTGATGACCGCAAACGCATCCAACTCGAGCCAAGGGGAAAGCGTATTCAGCCAAGCCTCCGCTTCCACCGCTGCCACTTCCATCTCGCCCCACACTCGTCCGCAGAGTCGAGCATCTCTGGTGAATCCCACTCCTAAAGCCAATCCAGGTAGCGGTATCTTCAAAGCACGCGCCATTCCCAGTGCCGTCACATCCAAGCCCTCGATCGAGCCCCGACTCAGTAAAGCAGCCGCCTTGCGGATGGGCGTTCAGCTTCCCGCGTCGCAGAACTCACCCGCTCGATCTCGTGTCGCTAGTACCTCAAAGGACGCTTCCAACGTCGGTATCTCCGGAGTGACAAAGCGAGCCGCACCACCGCCCGTCTCGCTCAAAGCACCGTCCATCGCTCCTCGACTCAACAAAGTTGCACTAGCTCGTCAGGGTGGTGTCGCCAGCGAACCCGCTCCTGTCCCTCGCAGATCCGCGTCTGTCGCCAGCTACGCTTTCCCCTCCACCAGCAAAAGCGCATCGACCGACTCAACGACAGCGTAAGCCCGTCGACTTCTCCTCCACCCCGGGTCACAAGCGTCTCTCCCTCGCCGGCACGGTTGCTTCCACTGCACCGCCTACCATCGCACCTCGGCTGAACAAGGCTGCACTGGCAAGGCAGACCGGCAGTGTTCCCACTGCGACCGCCGCACCGAGCGCACATAGGCCAGTGGACTTCTCCACTACACCGGGGCACAAGCGGCTTTCACTCACGACGCCCCGCAGTATCGCGTCCATCGCTCCACCCGCCATTGCTCCGCGTCAGAACCGGGCCAGCATGAGCCGCCTGCAGACGCAGCAGCCCGCGCAGTCTGCTCGATCCACCGCCCCTCCTTCGTCGTTTCGACCTGCTCGTCCGACCGATTTCACCTCCACTCCGGGCCACAAGCGCGCCTCTCTCTCGCTCAGCATCCCTTCCCTGGCCGCGCCGTCCGTTGCACCGCGTCCGAACCGCGCCTCGCTCGCACGCACCCGGCCCACAGCATCTTCCCCTGATACGGCGACCGCGAGCGGTCAGAAGACCACCCAGACCCGAGCAGCACCAGACTTCAGCGGCACCCCAGGCCACAAGCGCGCATCGCTCAATCTGAGCCTCGCCTCGCTCAGGGCGCCAGCTATCGCGCCGCGGTTGAACAAGGCGGCGGGTGCGCGGATCGGGCTTGGGGGTGTGGCCAAAAGTGGCGCTTGATCTGCTCGCACAGGTGGTTAGGCCGTCGTGATTGTCGATTGGGCTGGGTTGTTGGAGCTGAAATTGGTGACGAATTTTCTTGTACGATAGCATGTCGCTGGCTGTAATGGTTGGTATCAATGACACATACGAGAGGGTGAAAAGTGTGGGAGCGAGGGAAGGAGGTCATTGAGAGCGAGGAAAGATTCGCTGCCATACGGAAGGGCGATGCCGAAGAGGACACCAGCGTGGCTGACATGAACGTGAAGGGCTTGCGTGATGCCCTCGTTCAGCTCGACAATGCGGGACAGCAGCATCGGTCTGGCCTGACGCGCTTGGCGTCGACAAGGGACCTTCCGCCTCTTGCTCCCTTTCTTCAGAAGCTGAGAATGCGAGTCCGTGGCCGTGTGAACAAGCATTGCCACAAGCGCAACATGATGGAAGCGACTATGGAACGACAGAACGGCGGTGACACACAGCCTTGTTCGCTTCTCAAACAGCCCTCACTTCAGACGACACATTGCACAGTCACTAAGAGAACGAGCGAAACAATTGTCCAATGAAACACAAAACAAATTCTACCACTCCACATCCTTCCTCCTATCCGCGCTCAAGACTCGGCGAGGACGCGTTCGATCTCGGCGTTGACGAAAGCCTTTTTGCTCTCGATGGAGGTTCCGTACTTGGCCTCAAGCTTGGCTCTGAGCTGTTTCTTGGTGATGGTGGTGAGGTCGGCTTCGGCGATGAGGGAGCGGATGTCCTGCTTGATCTGGGTGTCGGATGGCAGACCTGCAGCGACAGGCTCGCGAGGAGGGCTTTGGGAGCCGCCGCTGCCAGATGCGCGTGGCATGGCCTGTTGTTGCTGAGCATGCTGCTGATCAGGGAAGCCGCCGTAGCCGAGTTGAGAGCCGCCGTAGATGGACTGCGTTGCACCTGCTTGAGGGTAGCCGTACATGCTGGCCGTCGTGTTGAAGGGTTGAGGCATGAAGCCGCTTCCGGCAGCCGGCATGCCGTAGACCGAGCCAGCCGGCAGGCCGTACATGGACATCGGCTGCTGACCATATCCGCCCTGCATACCTGCCAGGCTGTACGTCGACTGGCGAGCTGCATCCTGAGGGAAGTATCCGCTGCCAGCACCTCCCATCTGAGACCCGGGACCTGCAGGATAGCCGCCGTAATGCGAAGGCGTGCCGCCGAACGACGGCGAGGGACTGTGACCAAAGCTTCCGTTGTTGGGCAACATCGGCTGACCGTACAAGCTGGGTGCGTACTGCGAACCGGCGCGCGAGCCAAGCGACTTGTTCTCCGCTCGTGCTGCCTCGATGATGGACCCGATCGATCGTGCCGAGTTGCGCTCCCAAAGCTCGTTCTCGTAGTCGGTCCAGGTCTGCAGAGGAATCTCGCTCGGGTCGAACGTACCTTCCTCGTGGACCACCACCTTCTGACCCTTCTCGCCCATGACGACACGGGTGTTACCCCACGAGAAGTCGTCCATGTGCCAGAACGAGTAGAGGGGCAAAAAGAGCGACCAGATCGGGATACCCAGAATGTAAATGATCATCCAGCCGATCATCTCGAACTTGCGGTTGAGCAAGAAGATGATGGCCTGGCAACCATAGATGGCAGCCAACATGATGATGGCAGTCAGCGGGATCGTGCCGTTCTGCGTCACGACCAACACGATCAGGTAGACAATGTAGGCCACCGTGACGGGAGCGATGATGGTCGACAGCAGATCGATGAAGACGATGAAGCGCATCGAGAAGAGACAGAAACCGCAGAGACCGGGAGTGAAGATGAGCTCCACCAAGTTGTGGACCGTCGAGTTGATCCATCGTCGACGCTGCGACAGCAGCACCTTCCAGTCATCGGGCGCCACGGTGTAAGCCTTGCAGTCGCGTACAAAGATGGTCTTGTACTTGCCAAAGTGCTTGAGCACCAACGTCGTCAAGTATCGATCCTCACCGAGGTGGAGCAGGTTCTTGGTGTGGAGCGTGTCGACGCGGTTCTCGGCGTAGTCCTCGACGATCTGCGATGCGATGAACAGCGGTCGGTGCGTGTCGGGCGTGCGAATGCGGAACATGGAGAAACAACCGGGCAGACAGGTGACGGAGCCAAAGAGGGACTCGAACGCCTTGGCCAGGTAGTGCGAGATGTAGTACTCGTAGACCTGAAGCATGGTGATGATGCTCGCCTTGGCATTGGAGAGCGCCGTCTCGCCGCAGAGACCAATGACCTTCTTGTCGCGGATGAAAGCCGAGATGAAGCGGTTGAGCGACATGACCTCGACCTCGGTATCGGCATCGACCTGCAGAATGTACTCGTAGAAGCTCGGGTTGACTCCAATGACATTCTTGATCTGGTGGTAGATCTCGAGCTCCATCGGGTTCATGGGCAGACCGAAGTGCACCTTGTTGAGGAATCGCATCAGCACCAGCTGAGAGTCACGCTTACCACGGTTACCGGGGCGGGAACGTTCGGTCGGCTTACCGCATTTGGCGACGACAATGTACGGGACGACGTGACCGCTGTGCTCGTAGAGACCGCTGTAGATCTTGGCCATGTTGTGCTGCTTGCTGCCTTCGCCGAGCGAGAGGAAGCTGAGTGCCTCGGGTTCCAGGTTGGGATCGGCGCCAAGAATGTCGAGCACGATGCGTGGGGTAGGACGGTCATTGCCCGAACCGACGATCATGCCGTCGCAAATGATGAACAGCAGCTTGCGCTTGTCATCGTACTTGAGTGCAGCCAGCGAGTTGATCGTCTTGCGCATCGACTCTTCGCCCTCCGTGTAACAGGGAACCTGGCAAATGACGAACTTGTCATGGTCCTCTGGCTTTCGCGCGCGTCCGAATTGAAGAGCAGCAAGGAACTTGAATCCGAGGATGGCCACCATGAAGAGGGACAGAGCCAAGAGGATGTACTGCGAGAAACGACACTGCGGCGAGTTGCGGTGATCGACTTTTCCGATGAAGTACAGATTTCGCAGACAGACTCGTTGACGGTCCAGCACATCAGCGTCGAGAGGCAGATTGTCGAACTGCTTGGTGATGTCCTTGCCTGGGTTCTGAGTGATCAGGCTGATGATAGCATCGCTCATGAACTTTCGGTTGGTGCCGGCGGCAGCCTGGAAGCCATCTGGAGCTCGAAGCACACCCTGGTTGCCTTGCTTCACGTAATCGGTCACGTCGTAGATGTCGCCGCGGTAGATGGCCACCGCCCGTCCCTCCGAGAGAATGTCGCGGATAAGATCGCCAGTGAAGCCCATGAAGCCGACACGGTAGTTTGAGCGCAGCAGCCACATGGTCTCGTAGTACCAGTCGGGTCGAGCGTCGTCCGTGTGGTAGGACCGGAAGTCGTGGTACTGCGCATTCTTGTCGGTCGAGTTCTCGTTGGACAGCTGGACCCACGGGCTGACGTTGCCGTCGACACCGTTGCAGAGCGCATTGACCTGGACTGGGAAAATCCCGGTGGCATCCTCTCCCGCGTACGCAAGGATCGAGTTGGCAGGCACGACGGGGACTACAGACTTGTGGCTGGCAACGAGGTTGCTGAGGTCGAACACTTCACCTCGAATCGAGGTGAACGAAGAGTCGCCCTTGTGCGTGGCAAACTCGTTCGGGCTGTAGACGTGCTGCTTGGGGCAGATGAGGTTTCCGAGGACGACAATGACGAAGACAGCGCAGCCGCAGATGAACCAAATGATGAGGTTGATGGCCAGCTTCTCTCGCCATGCCATGCGGATGTCGGGTCTCTGGAGGGAACGGAAGCGTCGGAGGATGAACGAGGGAACGAAGAACGTGATGGCCCAGGTGAAGGCGACCCACTTTCGACGGGTGGAGCTGACGCCGATTTCTTCGGCGACTTCACCAAGAGGCTCCTCAGTGAAGGCAGCCGTGCCAGCTTTCTCGTTCAGACCGTTCTTGCCCATGTCGGCGAACATGTTGCGCGACGGCGCGTAGGCCTCGGATCCAATCACAGAAGCACCGCCGCTGAGCGGTCCGCCAAAGCTGCGTCTTGGCATGGTACCAGTCATGCCCGAGTACTGGCTCTTGACCTCCTCGAGCATGTCATCGTGCTCGGCAAGCCCACCTCCGACCAAGGGCAAGGCGACGGAGGATCGATCCTTGAAAGGATCGCCGTAAGCGCCGACAAAATCGTTGCTGCGGCTGCGTGGCAAATCGGGGCTCAACACGGCTAAGGGGGAGAAGGGGTCGGACTCGCCACGTGCTGCCGTATCGGCGTCGAGCTGCGCTCGCCTCTCGTTGTTCTTGACCTCTTCGGGATCGGCGGCACGCAGCTCATCCTCGAGCTCGCGGAAGGCGGTGTGAGAAAGGAAGACCTTGACACGACCCGAAGCAGCCTCCTCGTCGGACCAGGACATGACCTCGCGGGCAGCCGAGAACTTCTGCTTGGCCTCGCCTGAGACGGCGTCGCGCATCTGCACGGCTTGGAGCGAAGGGGTGTCGGCGTATCGCTGACAGAACTCCTCGTAGGTCATGCTGACGCTGTACTCGTGGAGAAGCTTGCGCGACATCTCGGAGAGGCCGAGGGTGGTGATCTGGTGCTTGACCGCTCGGGCTTCGAATTGATTGGGGAGCTGGTTGTCGTTGGGGCGGATGCAGAGCGTGAACCATGTCTTGGTCTCCTCAAGCGTCTCCAAAAGCAGGTCGAATGCCCCACGGAAGTCGCCAGCGACACATCGAACACCAGTCTTCTTGGACGTGGAAGCGTCACCGGCATCAGCTGCATCGTCTTCCGAGTCGTCGTCAGCGTTGTCGCCTTTCTTGACCGTCGCGCTGCGCTTGACCGTGTTGCCACGATTCGGACGGCGTGTAGATGGTGCACGGATGGGTCGGACCGATTGCTGAGCTGCGACGATGGTCTGATCGTTCTTAGGATGCGACTGGGTCTTGAGCACCTTGGTGTTGAAGATGCCACGCACGAATGGAATGGACGATCCGGTCGAAGCATTGGGATCCGACCCGAGCTTGCCAGCCTCTTGCGGGCTGCCGCGGAGCAGTGAGACAAAGTCGGGGCTAACCACCTCGCTGTTCTTCTCGAGCAGGTTCTCGCTAGTATATGTGACGGCGCTGTTGTAGTGGC